AGCTTCTGCAAGAGCAAGGCATCTCAGCCAAGGTCTACAACAGTCCAGTCTTGGAGAAAGCGCCGCTGTTTCATTCCCTCAAGATACTTGCCGTTCCCTCAACGCCACCCAATTCTCCTCTGCATTCCCCTTGTCCTTCCCCTTTGCCGTTTGAGTCCCGAGTAAATGCGTCCGAAAACTTTTTGGCCTCTCGGCCCGCCGAAACGTTACTGCAGGAGATGTACGGACAGAAAACCTCTAATCCTCCCGACGCAGGACAACTGAAGATGAACCTGGTGGAGAGACTGAAGAAGCTGGGCATTGTCAGAGCTGTCAAACAGCCGGAGGCAGGGGACAGTGGGAAGGTTCAGGGGGCCAAGAGTGGTCTCCACCAGCATGACTCTGCTGCGTATGTAAGTGCAGGCAGCAATCTGATGGGTGGGCTGAGGAGAAACCACAGCCTTCCCGTCTTGATCGGGGCACTTGGAGGTCCGGTGAGCACATCCTCTGCAAAAATGGGAATTCTAGAGGAGAACTGAGCAGTTCACCATGGTTGACCTTTAGCAGAGGAAATAATACAAAATCCATGGACTTGGGGATGTAGGTTAAGAGGAGGTTTAAAAAGAGGGTTGTTGTAGGAGGCTGGTATGTGGCTAAGTAGGGAGGGAGGACTTTGCATGGAGTATGGAAAAGAAGTCATACATTTCAAGAGAGAGGAGGAAAAGGAAGGAAACCAAAGTTCAGTTTTGAGAGCACTGAAATTTCTAATCGTCCATCATGATCAATAGGAGGGCAGCTCAAACAAATTCATTGCATTTTCAAGCTTTGTATGGAACAGTAAATATCTACGCAAGTCTTGTATCTTCTGTGTATTTTGTCAGGTGCTGTCTGAGAGATGCTGGCACTGAAATGTAATTTTAAGGAAAGGGGCAGAAGGGGCAGTGTCGCAGCCACTCTCCCAGTACTGCTGTTGCTGCTGCTGACCTGGACAGGGCAGGGAGGTCAATGCTGCACAGTGACACTGGTGAGAACGCTGGATTGGGTCCGCCAGTGCACCTGCACAGCCCTGACCTCAATGGTGCCCTGCTCCATCCAGGTACGTGGCAGCAGTGCCAGAGTCTGGAGGCCAGTACCGCTGCACCATTCCAGCCTTCCCTGCAGAGGAGCAAAATATCTGTTAAATACTGGTCCGAAATGTTTTTAGGAGAGAGCATAGCTTCATTTGTGAATTTAAAATACAAATACCAATGGAATATATATATATATATATATATATATATATATATATATATATATGCTCTCTTAAAAATGAAGCACCACAAGCTTAGCAGAGAAAATACTTGTGATAGGTAATTCATATTTAGCAGGGCATAATTATGACAACATGTCCTGTTGCACAAGTTGAAAAAAGAAAACCCCTCTCAGGCAAATATTTACAAGGAAGTAAAATTGAGGTCCTTTATTTTAGGGTACATTATTTACTTAAATTGGGAGCATATATTTAGCAGAAACAGAGCAATGTGTTTGACGTTCTCCATCTATGTTTGGGGCATGCTGAATACTGGAATGGTCTTTTCCATAGATATATGACGCTCAGTCTGAAATGTCCGTGGCTCCAAGCCACAGTCTGGGAAGATCACTTTTATAGCTAAATCAGTTTTCCTCTGATTCTTGGTAGACTTCGCCTGCACGGCTTTCATAGAGGAAAAAATCAAATGCACAAAGCAACATGCATAACTTTCCGTGTTAATGTGGAACCAAGATAGCAGTGGTTTCTCTTCATGCTGCAGTAGACAAAAGCCTTGGCATTGCTAAAAGGAGAGGAAGAGAAGCCTTTTCCCGTTGATAAGATAATGTTCTGAATGAATTATTCTGTGATGGAAAGCTTTCTTTTCTTTTTTTGTTTTGCCAGAATGAGCAGATAGAAATTTGGTCTCGGGATAGTTTGGATGTGAGGCAGAGACAGGAGAAGGGAAGAGGAAGCACGCCTAACTTGGGTACCTCCCTATTTTCACACTTTCTGTGTGATGGCTGAAGTGGAAACTTGAGATGCAGGACCTCTGTGCACATCTAAAAGGCGTGAGGATATTCCAAATCACACTTGCAGTGAGCTCCGTGGTAAAATAGAGCACAAACGGTGGCTGGGTGACCTGACAAGACCTCTGGTTACTTCAAGTTATAACCACAAATTCTAAACAAATTAACTGCAAACAAAGCCATCAGGTCTTTTATATCCATGTGTGATTTGCAACATGATTTTTCTCCTCTTAACCAATCCCTTAGGTGGGGATTTCTGGCGGTTTCTGTAAAGCAAAGGTTTCCACAAACATTTACACCCAAGTGCTTTTGTCAACTGATCTCCTCAGTATCACCTATGAGCATATATAATAGCTCCATAGGTTGTGGAAACTCAATGAAATCCTGTAAATAGTAAATGTTTATTTATAAATTACTATTAACTGTATACGGGTTGACTACATTTTAAATGACAAGCACGTTCTGAAAATCTGAAAGCGCTCGGAGTGCATTTCCTTCTTGGTGTATGAAACCTTGCATTCCTTGGCAAGAAAAATAAAAGGGAATTTTGTTTAATTTCTTAAACTCGGAGTCCAACACATCCTGTTGTGTTTCTGCAGCAGTAGAGAAAGATTAGGTAATGGAATGGTAGCATTTCTCCAGGAAAACCAGCAATACTTGGAGGGAAACAAGCACAACCTTTCTGCTAGCAAGTTAAGGTATGTCTGATTTATGTAATCTGTAAATTCTTTCTGCGATCGTTTGATTAAAATAATAATAATCTAGGATGAGTGGATTTCTAACGGGCTTTCATGTAACTGCATCTGTTTTTAAGTTATACTGTATGCACCCTGTTATCAGTGGATGAAGCAGACCATATTCATGTAAAATTTAATTTTGTATATTCAGTAAATGCATGTTCATCTGTTCAAAGAGAGCTTTCCCCCCCTCCCCTTTCCAAGAAGGTTAGAAAGAAACATCAGTTCAGCAAAGTATAAAGCCTGGTCTAGCCCCTGATAGGGACCCCTGCTTAATACTGTGGTTGTCGTCCCATCAGAGTGAAGCCAGTGGTAGCAAAGAAGAAAACCTATTTGTATCCACAGTTGTTCAAGTGCATTTTGTACAGTGTGCCTCAAGTCCATTCTCTCAGCGAAACATTACCTTTGTGCCAAAACCCTCTCAGGCATGAGCCTTGGAGCATAGAGTACCATAGAACCAATTCAAGAGATGGTAGTATAGATTCAAAAAACACAAGTGACCCTCTGTGACATCCCAGATTCTTACAGTATAAGGTGGCTTTTTCTGACAGCAGTGGTTCAGCCATCCATAATAGCAGGCCTGTAGGATGTCTGAAGTGGGACGCTGGTGGCGCTGTGGGTTAAACCACAGAGCCTAGGACTTGCTGAGCAGAAGGTCGGCGGTTCGAATCCCTGTGACGGGGTGAGCTCCCGTTGCTCGGTCCCTGCTCCTGCCAACCTAGCAGTTTGAAAGCATGTCAAAGTGCAAGTAGATAAATAGGTACTGCTCCGGCGGAAAGGTAAACGGCATTTCCGTGTGCTGCCCTGGTTCGCCAGAAGCGGCTTAGTCATGCTGGCTGCATGACCCAGAAGCTGTACGCCGGCTCCCTCGGCCAATAAAGCGAGATGAGTGCCGCAAACTCAGAGTCGGCCATGACTGGACCTGATGGTCAGGGGTCCCTTTACCTTTAGGATGTCTGAAAGGAAATAATTATCATGCGAACAAGGAGACAATGCAGCTATCCATCTTTTTACTAACGTATATACTTGAAAATGGGTACTATACTTGGGGGTGCCAACTGAGCACAAAAGACACACGTAATATAAATCAATATTGAAAAGATTTTCATTACGTACTAAGAACTCAACGCACATTTGATAAATAAATGGTATGTTTCAGTCTCTGTGCTTCTTGAACCAGAAAGCTGATTTTTTTAAAAACAACCAAATGCATATCCTAATGGTTATACAGATTTGTTGTTGTTTTTGTAGCCAAAAAGGTAAAATGTCCCTCAGCTGAAGGGGGAAAACTTATATAAGCCGTATAGAAAAGAGTGAAGCTTTGACTCAGCAGGTTTTGCAACTTTTCTTATAATCAGTGGCAGATTGTTTTTGCACATGACTTTATTTTGAAGTGGAAACCAAGTGTTATAAATAAATGCATAAAAAGCCTTTTGCACAGTTTTGTTGTACAGTGATTTCTTCCAAACATTGCTAATGTGTCATTTCATGTTGTTGTCCTCCTAGCTTCTGCATTGCCATAAAGCAAGATTGATTAAATGGTGTTAACTTAATTGTCCTTGGCCAATTGAAAATAAAATAATAAAGACTATCAAGATGCGAACGCAACATATTTCATAAAACTTGACAAAGTAGCTCAGTTAATATTAGTGGAATAGTTACTTGCTTTTATTCACTGCCCTGAAAGAAAGGAAGATCTGAGTTCTGCATACACATGTACAGCTCATTGTCATTTGCTTCTACCAATAACGTAGTGAAACCTGTTTCAGGGATGAGCCTGAGTGCTATTGGTACAGTAAAATGCAAATTCTAATGTGGTAATTTCATATGCAGATGTGCTCTTGGTGAAGCAGAAGGTGTATGAAGCTTGGACGTGGTGTTGTGTGTGAATGAATGTACAAGCAAGTTGTGGTGTGTGTAATAAATTGGGGAGGAAGGGTGGGATATAAATTTAATAAATAAAATAGTGAATCACCTAAAAATGGGCCAAGGAAGGACATGTTCCTTTAGTTATCGCAAAGGCTCGACTATTGAGTGATCTTTATGCTCACCTTTAATGTACTATTCCCTTGCTTTTACCTTCTAATGGTTTTGTAATTCAGAATCTGAGAGTAAGCTGAATGCCTCCTTGTTTTTGGAACAGATAGGTTTAAGCACAATCTATATTCCCAACTATATTGCGGGGCCAAGCTTGTCTGTGTACTATGCCTTTAAGAGTGGAATGCAAGGAAACCCGAGAGTAAGCTTGTTGCCGTGGTGAGAAAGAAAACTTAAATCACCCAGAGAGAAAAGAAGAGGAAGGAAAAAGTGCAAGCAGTAAGACATACGGCCTGCCTTAATCCCCCAGCTTCGGGTTTAAATTCACAGAATGGAGACTGCAAAGTAGTGAGATGTTATAGCTGTGGTTTCTCTTGATTGCTTTTAAGTTGTCCCCTTTTAACAGAGCTGGCCCAGGACATTTGGACAAATGATCTCTCCCATGAAAGCAAGTGTCCCCACATTCCTGAATCTCTGCTCTGACAAAGTGCACTGCCTATTCAAATCATTTGTCTTATGTTCCCACATCTTTAACATGACAAAAATCGGGATCCTTTCAGCACCAAATAATTATATTTTAGAGAACAATGTGTACAGTTGTTTACCATAGTTATAAAATTACATATAAACCTAAAATAGAAAATGGATTTTTTTTCCTTTCCCAAGCTTCTTTAGGTATGTGTGCATTTTAAGTATTTCAAAGACTTCAGTGCGTTTTGATATTCTGCTATTTATTTTTTAAATCTGTTTTGTTTGAAATTGCATAATGTATTTTACTGTGGTGGTTCTGTTATGGCAGAGTTTTCCAAACTATGTTGTGACGCATTAGTGTGTTGGCTGCAGTGATTAGGTGTGTCTCAAATCTTCCATTCTTGGGCAAGGTGATTGAGCGGGTGGTTGCTGAATGTGGACCATTTGGATCCCTTCCAATCAGATTCAGGTCTCATCATGGGACTGAAACTGCCTTGGTTGCGCTGGTCGATGATCTCCGGCAGGCTAGGAACAAAGGTGGAAATTCTGCTAGATCTCTCAGCGGCCTTTGATACCATCGACCACATCCTTCTGGACTGTCTAGTGGGGCTGGGAGCTGGGGGCACTGTTATGCAGTGGTTCCACTCCTTCTTCCTGGGCCGTGCCCAGAAAGTGGTGTTGGGGGTTGAGTGTTCAGACCCCTGGGCTCTCACTTGTGGGGTGTCTCAGGGTTCCGTCCTCTCCCCCATGCTTTTTAATATCTATAAGAAGCCGCTGGGAGAGATCATCCTGGGGTTTGGACATCAGTATGCGGATGATGCCCAACTCTACCTGTCTTTTAAATTGGAACCAGTGAAGGCGGTGAAGGTCCTGTGTGAGTGTCTGGAGGCTGTTGGAGGATGGATGGTGGCTAACAGATTGAGGCTGAATCCTGACAAGGCAGAAGTACTGTTTTTGGGAGATGGGGCAGGCGGGTGTAGAGGACTCCCTGGTTCTGAATGGGGTAACTGTGCCCCTGAAGGACCAGGTGTGTAGCCTGGGAGTCATTTTGGACTCACAGCTGTCCATGGAGGCACAGGTCAATTCTGTGCCCAGGGCAGCTGTCTATCAGCTCTATCTGGTACGCAGGCTGAGACCCTACTTGCCCGCGGACTGTCTGGCTAGAGTGGTGCATGCTCTGGTTATCTCCCGCTTGGACTACTGCAATGCGCTCTATGTGGGGCTACCTTTGAAGGTGACCCAGAAACTACATGTGGCAGCTAGACTGGTAACTGGGAGTGGCCGCTGAGACCACATAACATCGGTCTTGAAAGACCTACATTGGTTCCCCATACGTTTCCAAGCACAATTCAAAGTGTTGGTGCTGACCTTTAAAGCCCTAAACAGCCTCAACCCAGTATACCTGAAGGAGTGTCTCCACCCCAATCATTCAACCCGGACGCTGAGGTCCAGCTCCGAAGGCCTTCTGGCGGTTCCCTCACTGCGAGAAGCCAAGTTGCAGGGAACCAGGGAGAGGGTCTTCTCGGTAGTGGCACCCGCCCTGTGGAACGCCCTCCCATCAGATGTCAAGAAAATAAGCAACTATCTGACTTTTAGAAGACATCTGAAGGCAGCCCTGTTTAGGGAAGTTTTTAATGTCTGACGTTTTATTGTATTTTTAATATTTTGTTGGAAGCTGCCCAGAGTGGCTGGAGAAACCCTCTGTGCCTTACTTGAGAGAGGATGCTGCTCTATCTGAAGGGTCCCAAGTCCAGTTGAAAGATGAAGAACCATAAGAAGTGAGAGCAGGAGACTTGGAGGATACCCATCAACACTTCCCAGCCAGTAGGCACACAGGTCACCTGGTCCCCATAGTCTTGCCCACCATGGTGTAGCATGTTATGCTTCTATGTAAATCTGTGGCCCTTCAGAACACCCAACTCCCATCAGCCCCGGCCAACATGACCAATGTTTGTGGATAATGAGAGCTGTAGCCAGCAACATATAGAGAACCACAAGTTCCTCATCACTCATTTAAATTATAGTAATTATACATTCACGGGCCTTTTATACTAAAAAGACTGCTTTCTTTTCGCTGTCTCCCATACGTTGTTTCCAAGTCTTCACATTCTAAAGCACATTCTACCGGCTTAGAGGAGCACCTTCCTTCCCTTGCAAGTGCACATAAAGCAGTCTGTGTCTCTGATGTTCTGTTTTGCCTCCCCATCTACAGGGTTTTGATTGCAGAAGCCCCAAGAACAGCAGACATGTCCCAGCCCCAATCCCAGACCTTGTACTGCCCCTGCTGGGATCCTTGGAAGACAGGATACAAAAGACTGGACAGAGCTAAGGCAGGCACGCTGTCTCAGAAGCCCAAGTAAGTGAGGAAGTGTTCAACGTTGGTGGAGAAGCAATAGCATCACTCGGCTTAATAGCAAACTCAGAGTCTCTGTCCCATCCAAAATGGACATCCTTTTTATTCCGCATTCATGATCTGTGCTCATTATGCTGTCGGGGCAGGTCATACACGGTATGGTCGGTACCTGCAAAAGCTCTAAGGCCGCCACACTGTTTCATATCTCGTCAATGCATTTCCCATAACTTTGTGCTGAAATCCGGTAACTCTTCATGCCACAAATGTTCTGGTTTACTTAGTTGTGCATTTGTTGCACTATAGTCCCTCTGGACAGCATTGGTGAAGCATGGCAGAACAAACTGAAGCAGAAAGAATCCGCCACAAATGCTGACTGTCAGCGACTCTCCCAAGATTTCAGGCAGGAGTCTCCCCCATCCATTCCACAAGATGCTGGAAATGGAAACTAGGACTTCCTGCAGCCTAAAACTAGGGTCTGCCATTGAGCTAAAACCCTTGTGGTGTTCCATACCTTTCAGATTTTGCAATGATTTACCGTATTTTTTGCTCTATAAGACACACTTTTCCCCTCCCAAAAAGTAAGGGAAAATGTGTGTGCGTCTTATGGAGCAAATGCAGGCTGCGCGGCTAAGCCAGAAGCCAGAACAGGGAGAGGGAGCGCTGTGCAGCACGGTGCTCTGTCCCTTCCCCCACCTCCCAGAAAAGCCCCCAAGAGCCACGCTCCCTTTAAAGAGTGTGCGGCTCTTGCGGGAGGTGGGGGAAGGGACAGAGGGCAGCAGCCTCTTCCGGGCAGGGGGAGCCTTCATCCTGCTGCTCGGGAGAGTCTTCAGCAGCTATCCCAGAAGCCAGAGCAGCAAGAGGCTATCCCTGAAGCCAGATCCCTCTTGCTGTTCTGGCTTCTGGGATTCATAATATTTTTTTCTTGTTTTCCTCCCCCAAAACTAGTTGCATCGTATCGTCTGGTGTGTCCTATAGAGCAGAAAATACGGTACATGTTTGTTTGGTTTTTCTGTCCATCGTCTTGCGTATCCTACAGAAAGGCACTTAAGAAATGTTTTTAAAAAATCAGTCGGCACGTAAATATTTGTCATTTGTTCTTTGTTACTCCACCTGCTTCTCCTAATTTGCTAATAGGAATGATGATGCTCTGACCTAGCTTGCTGGAAGCCTAGAAGGCTGCTCTAAGGAGAGAGAAGGGTAGGCGTAAACATCTCGTCTCTCTTCCTTCTTACTGCCTTAGGAACGTGTTCTTATGCTCACTCGTGTGTGGCTGGCAGAAGCCAGGAAGATGCCAGTAATGTCACTATCATGCTGTCTCTTTAAATGTCACCGGAACGATGCTCAGGCACCTTCAGCTTCTCCCCATCATGGAATTTTGCAGGGAAGGGAGTCCAGAAGGGCCTTCCCCTCTTCTTCTCTCCCCCTGGACACCAGGGCTCCCCACCCCGTTCTTGCTCCATTAGTCCCAGGTGCATCTAGTTTGCCACTGCAAAAACAAGGTGCTGAACTGGCCCAGCAGTGCTCTTCCCATGCTCTCATGTTATGGAGATGCCTCCATAATAAGATTTATTTCTATATTTTAATATCATTTATATCCTGCCTTTTCTGCCCAGATAGGGTGCTCCATAGTGGTTTGGATAGGAACGCTAAAACCTTCACATGTGCACAAGCTCACAGTACTCATACGGCAAGGCAACACAAAAAACGAAACCGCATTTCCCCCCAAAGCGACAGTTGTGAAATGCTTCAAATGAGTGGATGTTGTGGGCAAGCTTCCAGGTATCTCTGGATTGCTTCCTTTGTATTTTACAGTACAGTATTACAAACCAAGGGACACGGGTGGCGCTGTGGGTTAAACCACAGAGCCTAGGGCTTGCCGATCAGAAGGTCGGCAGTTCGAATCCCCGCGACGGGGTGAGCTCCCGTTGCTCGGTCCCTGCTCCTGCCAACCTAGCAGTTCGAAAACATGTCAAAGTGCAAGTAGATAAATAGGTACCGCTCTGGCGGGAAAGTAAACGGCATTTCTGTGCGCTGCTCTGGTTCGCCAGAAGCGGCTCAGTCATGCTGGCCACATGACCTGGAAGCTGTACTCCGGCTCCCTTGACCAGTAAAGCGAGATGAACGCCGCAACCCCAGAGTCAGTCACGACTGGACCTAATGGTCAGGGATCCCTTTACCTTTTTTATTACAAACCAAACTATTCCAGTAGTCTCCTGTTGCACGTGCTTGCTGCCATGAGAGAATCAGAAGCAGAAGGAATCCTGTGTATAAACACTAATCCTGCTTAGCTGAAGAACAGGTAACATCGATGGATTGAAACCGACAAGCAGTGCTATAGCTCTTCGCCAAAATGCAAAGCAATTACAGTGGTGCCTCGCAAGACGAAATTAATTCATTCCGCAAGTCTCTTCGTCTTGCGAGTTTTTCGTCTTGCGAGGCACGGTTTCCCATAGGAATGCATTTAAAATAAATTAATGCGTTCCTAGGTAAACCGCCTTCAGACCTGGTCCGGGGACAGTCTGTCCCCGGACCTCTTCTGAAGGCTGGGGGGGGGCAAGGGCTTTCTTCCCACCCCCAGCATTTTAAAAACCCGGGACAGCGGAGGACTTCTCCGCTGTCCGGGCGATCTTAAAATGCTGGCGGGCGGCATTTTAAAATCACCCGGGACAGCGGAGGACTTCTCCGCTGTCCGGGGCAATTTAAAAGCCCCTGGGAAGGCAGGCAGGGGGACAAGACTTTGCCCCCGCCAGCCTTCAGAAGAGGTCCTGGACCTCTTCTGAAGGCGGGCGGGGCGAAGTCTTGCTCCCCGCCTTCAAAAGCCCTCCGGGACAGGCAGGCAGGGGAGCAAAGACTTCGCCCCCGCCCGCCTTCAGAAGGTCTTCCCTCCCCCCGCCCGGCCTCGGAGCACCGCCCGAGCCGGGCGGCGGCGGGAGGTCTTCCCTCCCCGCCCGGCTCGGAGCACCGCCCGGCCGGGCGGCGGCGGAGGTGCTCCCTCCCCGCCCGGCTCGGAGCACCGCCCGGCCGGGCGGCGGCGGAGGTGTTCCCTCCCCCCGCCCGGCTCGGAGCACCGCCCGAGCCGGGCGGCGGGGAGGTCTTCCCTCCCCACCGCCCGGCTCGGAGCACCGTTCCGAGCCGGGCGGCGGCGGCAGGTGTTCCCTCCCCCGCCCGGCCCGGAGCACCGTTCCGGGCCGGGCGGCGGCGGCAGGTCTTCCTCCCCACCGCCCGGCTCGGAGCACCGCTCCGAGGCCGGGCGGCGGGGAGGCTTCCTCCCCCGCCCGGCTCGGAGCACCGTTCCGAGCCGGGCGGCGGCGGCAGGTGTTCCTCCCCCCGCCCCGGCTTCGGAGGAGCCTTCCGAGCCCGGCGGCGGCGGAGGAGGTGTCCCCGCCCCGCCGCCAGGCTTCGGAGGAGGTCCGAGGACAGTGGGAAGACGCGCTGCGCTTCCCCGCTGTCCCTGAGATTTCCCTATGGGCTGTCGTCTTGCGAAGCTAGCCCATAGGGAAATTCGTTTTGCGAAGCGCCTCCAAAACGGAAAACCCTTTCGTCTAGCGGGTTTTCCGTCTTGCGAGGCGTTCGTCTTGCGGGGTACCACTGTATAAGCAAATGTCGAGTGGAATCATTGTACAAACTGGCAGCTATTTATTTGAAAGAAGATGATGGATCAGTCAACCGAATTGCTACAAGGAAAATTCTTCAGACAACTCAGTACTCAAGTTTTTAAAAGCTTGAGAAGCAACATGCCTTCCCTGCTGCTGTGGACAGAAATCCAATTATCAAAGTGTAACTTTATATGCATTCTATAAAAAATAATTATTCTCTTATGTGAGAAGATAGAACTTTCAGAAATAAACGTTCTTTCCACTTGTGTATAAGAGAAACTCATGGATCCTGTTTTGAATGGGATAGGGAAAGGGGTATTTTTACAAGTCATGTCATTGTCTTGTTTCAGGCTGAAATTTTGCAGACCTAACGCACAACCACTAAGAAGCAGGGAGCCTCGAGATGTGAGTAGAACAAAGCATTTCTTCCCTTTTTAAATTTGCTATCTTCTTTCCTTCCTCTTTGCAACAACCTTGTTAAGTAAGAAAAATAAGTTTTGATTTTGGAGGAGTCTTCATAGTTCAAAGACCCCAAACTCTTTTTCTATACTTTTCAGTTACCGTATTTTTTCCTCTATAAGACTCACTTTTTCCCTCCTAAAAAGTAAGGGGAAATGTGTGTACGTCTTATGGGGCGAATGCAGGCTGCACAGCTATCCCAGAAGCCAGAACAGCAAGAGGGATTTCTGCTTTCACTGCATAGCGATCCCTCTTGCTGTTCTGGCTTCTGAGATTCAGAATATTTTTTTTCTTGTTTTCCTCCTCCAAAAACTAGGTGCATCTTGTGGTCTGGTGCGTCTTATACAGCAAAAAATACGGTATATTATATACAACTTATATTAATGTCTACTCGGGGTCCATTCTGTTTATAGTTGAGGAAGGTATTTTAGATCCAAAATCCACAGTGAAGTTCACTCACTGTTGTCAGTGCCCATTGATAGGATTTTCAGTGGGCTTTCTTCCAGTAAAAAAGAAATTTTGCAACTCTCTAAAATGTATTTGGATGGATTTCTAGAGGAAAAGAGTCCAGCCTTGAAGTTACGGAAGCATCCTGAAGCTGAGAACTGCTTAACTGAAAAGTTTTGCTCCAACAAAATGCACCCAGCTCCTTGTTCTGTGTCCCTCCTTTGTGTAGCACAAACGCAACACCCTTGAGAATATGATGCTTTACTTAAAAATAAATAAATGCATCTGTCAGTTTGAGGGGCACTTTATTAGACTGGATTTTAAATGCTAGGATTCCACAGAGTGCAGTCCCTTTTGTTTTAACCCCAGATATCAAAGGAGATTGAAGATGAGATCACTCCTGGCTTTACCGTGTCTCACAGTAAGGATCATATCAGTGTCACGCTGGGCGAGGAATTCTTTGAGAAGAAAAAGCCTGATGAGGAACATCCCAAGCCCCCTGTGCTCAGGTAATCTTACACAAGTAACTACATTCTTCCTGACTTGAGGATATATGATGCAGCAGTGTTGGCTGGAGGTCAATGACAGGTGGAGTCAATTAATTCCAGCTTGCTCTGCTTTCTCCCTGCTGAGTTCAAGGGCTAAATGGAGGGCAAGACAAAGGAAGCTGGCAGCCAGGGCTACCCCCTAGACTGCTTGTCAGAAGGGGGGGCGGTTACCAGCTGGCTGAAAAGCAGACTGAGGTTGGTGGGCCAGTGCCCACACCCCATAATGGACCAGCCTCCTCTGCTCCACAAATGTGTGAAGAATCAGTAACAATAGTAACAACATTTATGTAAGGCAATTTTCACATTGGTCATGCAGGGTATCTGTAGACGTGTTGCATTTCCTGCAACCCAGCAAGGGAGTTAAATGCTTGCCAAATGCAGGCAAATTTATTCTCACTCCTTTACGTGTGGAGGCATCATGTGGTGATACAGTTCCACCAGCTAATGCCTTTTGAGCCCACTACAAATGTCAACAAATTTGTTAATAATGGTTTCTCTCGGTTACTCGTTTTCTTCATGCGTTTCCCCCTCATATAATGCATCGCTGTATCTTTATTTCCACTGACATATGCATTTATATGCACTTTCCCCTAACGTATGGCACCTTTTTGGTTGCGTTTCAGTTTGCGTATCGTTTTAGGAAGTGTGAATTAAGTAGATACGCATTAAAATGTGGACCAAACCAAATTTTCCATCCATCCTTGTTGGTGAGAGTTGTGCCTTCACACAAATACACACACGTTGTCTTTCTACCTGTGCCCAGAAAGTCTGTTGAAGGTCCTCAGTTTAGCCACCTGAAGACACACGTCATGATGCATTGTGTCCTGTGTGGCTCTTTGCTATGTTCGTCACCGGGCTGCAGTGAATATAATTTCTGTGTACGTCATTTGCATCCAGACAGGTGACTTGCAAAGGCATTGGAAGAAGCAGAATTCAGTTTGTAACTCGCATATGCGCACACAGTACTGTGTAGATCAGTCCTTTGATACATCTATTTTGAAATGAGAATGTGTTTAGCTGACAGTAGTGGTGCCTTAACAGCATCTCTCTCTCTCTCTCTCTCTCTCTCTCTCTCTCTCTCTCTCTCTCTGCCTTTTAACCCTCTTTATAGTTCTCCACCTAAGCTTGAAACGTAAGTATCAATCTACCCGCCCCTCACACAACCCCCTCACCTCAGCTTCCTTTTTGTGCATTACAGTAACAATTGTTGCTTAAGATACCCTCCTTCCGGTTTCCTTCCCCCACTTCAGTGCCACCCCTTCTTCCAGGATATTGCTTTGACAGGAACTTGCAAGGTGTATTGTGGCTCAGTAAGTCACTGCACATTGTTACCCAGGCAACAAGAATTATTGTCAGGAGGAAGGCCTGAGGCCCTGTTCAATTTGACACTATTGATTTAGCTTTACGCACGTTTATCTCTCTCTTTCACACACAAACACACACCCCTGCGCTGGAGTGCTAATTGTCTGTAGTGGACTTTCTTCGGGGGTGTTCAGTGTTTTCACTTTTGCTCCTCTATGTGGAGTATTTGACGCATACTGGGAAGAAACCGTGCTTACCTGTCTGACAGTCAGCCTTAGATTTCTCCCTACTGGCAGGGAATTGCAGGGTTTCATCACTGACTGCCCACCTATAGCTAGGAAAAGAAGAACGCTGAACATTGCAGTCCCCTAGTTTGATTTCAACTAAATTACCGTATTTTTTCCTCTATAGGACTCACTTTTCCCCTCCTAAAAAGTAAGGGGAAATGTGTGTGCGTCTTATGGAGCGAATGCAGGCTGCGCAGCTATCCCAGAAGCCAGAACAGCAAGAGGGATTGCTGCTTTCACTGCGCAGCGATCCCTCTTGCTGTTCTGGCTTCTGAGATTCAGAATATTTTTTTTCTTGTTTTCCTCCTCCAAAAACTAGGTGCGTCTTGTGGTCTGGTGCGTCTTATAGAGCGAAAAATATGGTATTGTGCTGGAATTTTCCCTCACCCCCAAATCTGCCCTGGAGCGTTGGGGGGAACCCCAAATCAGATTTAGGGAGCATGCAGTGCAAGGGGAGGCAGAGAGCTTCCCCTTGCGGAAGGAGAAATCATTGCGTGGACCTTAGTGCTTTATTGAATGCAGTTCGGTTTACTTGGCACTTAGTCTAGACTGGGATTCTCTCCCAAGAAGGTTGTTTTTAGCCAAGCAATTATAGGACCATTGCATCGCCAGTTACTAATGTTGTGAATAGTCGTTGTGCCAGTCTTCTATACATGTAGGTCTTGAAAGACCTACATTGGCTCCCAGTATGTTTCTGAGCACAATTCAAAGTGTTGGTGCTGACCTTTAAAGCCCTAAACGGCCTCGGTCCTGTATACCTGAAGGAGCGTCTCCACCCCCATCATTCTACCCGGACACTGAGGTCCAGCTCCGAGGGCCTTCTGGCGGTTCCCTCACTGCGAGAAGCCAAGTTACAGGGAACCAGGCAGTGGGCCTTCTCAGTAGTGGCGCCCTCCCTGTGGAACGCCCTCCCACCAGATGTCAGAGAGAACAACTACCAGACTTTTAGAAGACATCTGAAGGCAGCCCTATTTAGGGAAGCTTTTAATGTTTGATCTATTACAGTATTTCAATATTTCTTTTGGAAGCCGCCCAGAGTGGCTGGGGAAACCCAGCCAGCTGGGCGGGGTATAAATAATAAATTATTATTATTATTATTATACATTTGAGGTTTGCTCTGCCTGCTCTGTTTCATGGCTTTTAGGCTCATTGTTAACAATGTATGTGCGCGCGCGTACATGTTTGTTTTATAAGTAATAGTTACAGATAAATATTAATAAAAATATTTATAAATTGCTGCCAGCTGAGTGCAACCGATACCTTTAAATTTCTCACAGCCCTGTGTCATATAAGCCAGTGATACCTGCTTCAATGTGAACATTCCAAATACCTATCCCATACATTTAAAGCACATCCAATGCACATTTGAAGCAGGTGACAAATAATCATGGGAACCGTGGTTTTCCCCTCAGAGGGCTGCCATACCCAACACCCGTAACAAACTACAGTTCCCATAATTCTTTTGCGGGGGAATCTTGGACTTCAAAAGTCTGTTGGGTGTGCTTCAAATATATGTGGTGTGGATCTGCTGGAGCAGTGGGAGAGGAGTGCGTTTGCTGAACATTTTGTTTGCCCGCTTGCTCCTTCCACCTTGAAACCCACGCAGACCTTGCCCAAGGCAAGAGCCTGTTTGCTGGAGAATAATCCTGAGACTGCTGCCCATTGACATTCTTTGGTTTGATGCTCTGAACTTCTGTAGCATCGTTGCAGTTAGGAAATGATGAAGCTTAAAAGGTAAAGGTAAAGGGACCCCTGACCATTAGGTCCAGTCGTAGCTGACTCTGGGGTTGCGGCGCTCATCTCGCTTTATTGGCCGAGGGAGCCGGCGTACAGCTTCCGGGTCATGTGGCCAGCATGACTAAGCCGCTTCTGGAGAACCAGAGCAGTGCACGGAAACGCCGTTTACCTTCCCGCCATTTACCTATTTATCTACTTGCACTTCGTGCTTTTGAACTGCTAGGTTGGCAGGAGCAGGGACCGAGCAACGGGAGCTCACCCCGTCGCGGGGATTCGAACCGCTGACCTTCTGATCGGCAAGTCCTAGACTGTGGTTTAACCCACAGCGCCACCCACGTCCCGGATGAAGCTTAGCTTTGATTTAAAATCTGAACGGAACAAAGCTCCTCTGCCTTCCATCACCTGGCGTATACTGTGCTGCGCTGACATAGGGTCCCGCCAGCGCTGATCTCTTCCAGACAAAGAGAAGAGATTAGACTCATAGAAACCGCAAAATTGCATTTGCAGTCTTATAGAAAAGAGGGAGAGAAATGGCTCTTCTATTGTGAGCAAGGAAAGCCTATCTTTAAACTTCGTCCAGACTTACTTCCTTCTCTCCCCACATAAGACAGAGGGTGTAGAGGCACCAGTTTCTTCTCCCTCTCTGTTGTAACTTGGTGCAGACAGCAAACCCCTTCAACCCCACCATCTCCTCAACCCCGACTGCCAAACAGATAAGGGAATCCTATAAACTGTTTTAGTTGCAGTTCTTGATTTTCCCGCTCTTGATCCTTCCGACATGATGAGATTTGCCAACCAGCAAATTTCGCTGTACAGATACAGTGTTGGTCTTGCAGGGAGGACATTATAGGTGACTTGATGGAACAGATTTCTGAGCTCACAGCTATAATGGAGCAATTGCGCCGAGATCACCAAACTAGCCACAAAAAGGTGAGTCACTTCCATTTGGGGTGCTGCTGTTGGAAACTTAGCAAATGTAGCCTTGTACAGTGGTACCTCGGGTTACATACGCTTCAGGTTACAGACTCCGCTAACCCAGAAATATTACCTCGGGTTAAGAACTTTGCTTCAGGATGAGAACAGAAATTGTGCTCCGGCGGCGCGGCAGCAGCAGGAGGCCCCATTAGCTAAAGTGGTGCTTCAGGTTAAGAACAGTTTCAGGTTAAGAACGGACCTCCGGAAGAGTCCGTGACCAGAAGGAGGAGGAGTATCAGGAAGAGTGGAATAAATTTAATGATTATCTAGTTAAATCTGTTAAGTCAAATTAATTGAAAATAGCTTGCAGATTGGCTTAGGATTTTATTTATGTTAAGTGATGAATTAATATGTTTAATTCCATACAGTGAAGATTTAAGGATGTTAATGTTTAAGTTAAATTTCATAAGAATTGGGATTTGGAAAACCGTTAAAAGCACATGCAATGAAATTCAACCAAGGGGAAGCGAGGAAGTCACTTAACAAAGTTAATAAGTGTAATTTTCAATAAGGCTATGATTTATGTTTGTTGGTCTTGTGTGTTTGTTTGTTTGTTTGTTTATAATATTGTGAAAACCAATAAAAAATTGGGGGGGGAGGAGAACGGACCTCCGGAACAAATTAAGTACTTAACCCGAGGTACCACTGTACTGGAATCCTCCATTAAGGACATAAGTTTTTGGAGAGTAGTCTCCTTTTCATCAGATCCATGAAGGACCCTCCTCAGTTGGAGTCTATATACTGTAATGAGATGGGAGAATGGTTTGAATGATCTCTCCAGGTTTGACCATGGGTCGACATGGCCCTCAGCCTGAAGGATAGCAATTGCTGCGTTAAAGCATCAATGTATATAAAACCAATGTAATTTTTGTTAGTGCAAAAAAGAAAGAAAGTAGAAAGTAGAATTCATTGGACGCCAAGATCCAAGTTTAGGGCAAGTACTATTTGGTGAGAGAACCCCAGCAGAGATTTAAAGTCACAAAATACGTAGCAAAGTAAAGCATGGAAATATAGGTTATTAGACTTAAATTTTAGTTTGCCCTTTCAAGTACGTTCCAAAACTTCCCTCTTTCCTCAGTATAGGAAAAGGCCACAAGTTTGGTAAGTTAAAATATTGGTTTACTTACAAACACTTCAAAGGTCTGGTACATGTGCTTTTCCATACATCAGGCAGAAAAGTAAAACGTCGCTAAGTTGCAAAGTTGTCAATGTTCCTAGATTCTTGGTAAAGGAACACAAGAGTGGCTGGTGAGAGCCAAGCAGTTTTGCAGGATCAACCAGCTCAAACCTCTTCACACCGGGCTTTTCAGGTAGACTGGAGGGTGAACATTAGGCTGGATTGCCCATTTCATCCCAAAACAAGCGGATGTGTCATAGCTAAGCTGGCAGAACAGCTGTGGTATTAATCCTTTCATTCATTAATTGGACCCAAACATGTTGGTTATATGAAGCTAGTTATCCCATAATTTTCCCCATTTGCCTCTCTGTTTTTTCTCTCTCTAAACCATGGATAGGCAAACTAAGGCCCGGGGGCCGGATCTGGCCCGATCACCTTCTAAATCTGGCTTGTGGACAGTCCAGGAATCAGCGTATTTTTACATGAGTAGAATGTGTCCTTTTATTTAAAATGCATCTCTGGGTTATTTGTGGGGCATATGAGTTTGTTCAGTTATTTTCCCCAAAATATAGTCCGGCCCCCCACAAGGTCTGAGGGCCAGTGGACCGGCCCCCTGCTGAAAAAGTTTGCTGACCCCTGCTCTATACCCATACCCAGCAACTTAGGATAACACTTCATGCTTTGCATGCCAGACTATAAAAGATTCTGCCATCATACAGGCAGGTGTAGCCTATGTGACTACAATTCCCATAATCCCCAGCTAGCATGGCCAGTGATCAGGGGTGATGGGAATTGCCGTCCAAAACATCTGGCAAGCAGCACATTGACCAAGACTTCTTATGAAAAGCAGTAACTCAAGCTGGTTGAAATAGATTTATTATTTTGGCATTTCTGGAGCAAAGGTGACATTGCCCTACTGAAGGAAGGGGTGTCCCAAACCCAAAACTGACTGTGCAGGCAGTTTGAAATGGGCACCAAAATCCCTATTTTTCCGTAGCCAAAATCCATTAACTTGAGCTCCGAGTCAATGTATAAACAAAAAGCCAGCTGTATAAACAAGTGCTCAGAGCCCTCTCCTTTATCAGTTCGTGACGGCAAGGATGACCTTGGCTGTTTCAGTGGAGTAGGGATGACATGTCTAGGTCTTATCTTACGTCCTTACGCACAGACCTAGTCTGGGAACAGCGCCAGAGTGTGTTCTTGGAGTTGGTGACCTCTTGCTCCAAGATAAGAGTAGGAACAGGAATACCCTTCTCTGGTCAGAAGTACAGGAAGGAATACCCTTTTATGGTTAAGAATACCGAAGCAGGAACATATGTGATGTCAACCTGCGTGTATAGGCTGACACGGTTGGATTCCTGGAGAAGGAGGGAGAGAGTGCCTGGAGGATATATATACTGCATGAAATGTCTCATTTCTTTGGATTTGCTGTGGACTGACCATGCAAGTGCCTTTCTGCTGCTCCGGAGAGCAGAAATAAAGAACTCTTTCTCTGAATCAACCTCGGTATCATTTGACTTCCTTCCTCCTGTCCGGGAGCAACGCAGACCCAATCGGTGAACTCCAATAAGGCTACAATACGATTAATTGGCATGGAGGAACCAGGAAGATGTGCGTGTCTGTTTGTGTTGAGCCTCTTGATCACAGAAACAAACTATATGCTGTGAAAGTACCTGAAGGTATCTTGTAAAGGCAGCTCCCCTCGTTCACCTTTATACAGAGCTTATTGTCTCTTTCTTTTCCTAGTTGGAGAAAGAGATGGAAGACAAAAGGAATGAAATGCAAGAGGAACACGAAAACAAAATGAGGTATGGCTATTTCTACGTGCGAGATGGATCCATTTATTTTGCAGCTGCTATTCTGCATTTTGTTTTGGATAACCTCCCCTGTCCCGGGACACAGAAGGGGGGTAACAAAAAGAGCCATTTTTGCCAGGGCCAATATAGATGAGAAAATGATCCGCCCTGTCCGCAACAGCCACTATTGGCATTTTAATTTTTTTTATATAATCTTTTTTTTATATTTTCAATGATATAAACATACAACATAAAACAGTGCAAAATCCAAATATCGAGATTACTCTGAATCTCTTGACTTCCTCCCCATCCCTTCCATGGGTCCTTTTAATTCTGTTTTCAGCTGTATATCAGTACTTCTCCAATTTTTCTTTTTTTTTTCTTTTTTAATTATTTTTTTCCAATGCAGAATCATAACAAAAATTACAAACATTGAATCCAAAATAATACTATACAAACAAGAACGAAAAACAGAACATACAAAAAAAAGGAGAAAAAAGGAGAAAAAAAGAAAGGAAAACAAAACAAAAAACGACAAAAAAGCAAACATCTACAAATAAAACCATATCATCATTCTAATCTAGTCATTACATACATATACACATACTTCTCCAATTTTTCATCTTCCTAAGTTATCTGTATGCTCTATTACATTATAAGGGTATCTAAAATCCTGCTAATGTTTTGACCTGTTTACAACGATTTTGTATATACAATATAAACATTTCCCTTTTTTTTTTTTAATTCCTTGTCTTCTTGATTCCTGAGCTTGCCAGTTAATTTTGCCATTTCGGCATAGTCCATCAACTTTGTTTGCCATTCTACTGGCATTTTTTTAAAGCATGCATTCGATGCAAGGAAATATTTAACATAATGTCTAGTTTAACCTACGAAAAGGCAGACCATTCCCCTGCAGGCTCCTCCAGATAGCCTATGGATTGCACATTCATGATGATTTCTGCTTCCAGTGGTATCCGGGTGGTTACACACAATTCCTCTTTCAGTACCGTTTGCGCCTGCAAAAGTTTTGGGGTGGACATCCTGATCTGTTTCCAGTTGGTGCATGTTCTGTCGCTTCCAAATGAAATTCTGTAATTTTTTACGCTGCAAATGCTGCAGATTCTGTTTTTGGTCTAACTTTTCTGGCACTGTTACTGCAGGAGAGCTCCCTCCACAGACGGAAATAATGTAGTAACATTGGGGGAGACCAACCAAGTGGAATTATGTACAGACAGAATTATGTACAGACACCTATCAGCCAATCACCCATTCCCACCTCCCTTCTGAGTAACACCCCACCCCACCCTCTCACTATATATAAAGGTCTGGTGACTTCTGTTTCAGTGTATCTGAAGAAGTGTGCATGCACACGAAAGCTCATCCCAAGAACAAACTTAGCTGGTCTCTAAGGTGCTACTAGACCATTTTTTTTAATTTTTATATATATTTCTATGTACAGCAAGTTTGGTATAAATCCACCACTGATACACTAGGATCATTGTTATTTCAATAGATTTTATTGAAGTTTGAAAGAAAATTTACAAAGGGTTAACATTAAATATCCAATTTTTAAATCAAAGATTAAAAAAAACCCTAATTAAATAAAAACACAAACCAAAAGGAAGAAAAGAAAAAGGAAGGAAGGAAGGAAGGAAGGAAGGAAGGAAGGAAGGAAGGAAAAAATAGAACTTCTGATTCTTCATCTGTCAGCTATATATAGAAAATTATTCAAAACATTCACTCCATAATAACACCCAACAATTCCACTTTCTATAAACCAGTATCTTTCTTCAATCCTCAAACCCAGAGACCATACGTTTGTTTTCTTTTTCCTGCAAAAAATCTATAAGGAGTTTCCAATCTTTATTAAATATTGTCAATGCTTTTTCTCTTCTCATTAAATGTATTACCTTTGCCAGTCTTAGCTAAGCCCAGTGATTTTAACAAACCATTCCTCCATGGAGGTAGGCAGTGATGAATCTTTCCACCTTTGTGCGTACGAAAGTCTCACCGCTGTGACCATTGCGTGAATGACATGTTGCAGAATACGCTCATAAAGGACTACTGAAGTAACGATTGGACGATGTGAAAGTTCTGTGGGAAGACTAATTAAATAAACATGTTGGTTTTGCTCTTGTTGGTATAGGTGTTATTCTCAAAACACTGTACAGCTGTAATATAGGGGGGGAAATAGATATTTTAAATAAGAATAAGTGGCGGTATTCTCAAAGCGGCTTAGAACTGAATAATAACACACACACCCAAATAATAAATAGTGGTATAGTAGTAAATGATTGATATTGTTGTAAACAAAAATTTGCCCTTTTCCCTTATGGGGTATCCAAGAGCCCGTATAGAGTCCTTACATAGGTTCCCTATTGGTAGGAGAGAATAACAGAGGCCAACCAGAGAATACTGAGAAGCAAAGCAGCTAGTAAGCTTGGTCTTCATGGATCTGTTGCAACAGGGTGCTCCCCTCACCTGCAGGAGAGAGGAGGAACCTAGAAAAATGGCTGCAAGGCCTTATAAAGACTTTTGAAATTGGCACCCTGTAGATCAAGACCACCCCCAGAAACATCATACATACATCACAGAAGGGGTGTAATCTAAGACCACCACCCCCAGATACATCATACCTACATCACAGAAAAGGAAGTCTAAACAGAAATTTGAATGTTGTTTTTCTCCTGTCCTTGTTTATCTCCTGTCTGGCAGGTTACTTGATTGGATTGCCTGGGGAGCCTGGCAAGTCTTTTGTAATGATAAACAGTTCCTGGGCCAGGTCACAGGCTCACACCCTATTCAAACACAGACATACCCTTAAGACAGGATTTGTGAAGGAGAAGACAATGTTGAGGCTTTTCCACTTTGACCTTGCAGAGAAAACATTTACTCAGTTTAGGAATCAAAATGGTTCCAGGTTAGTCTTCCTGTGCTGATCTATGTATGTGCTTGGTTGGTACACTTATGAACATTTAACATTTATCTAAGACCTCAAAATTCCTATCACAATATCAGGCAGAATCCACAGTTACCTGGGAAGATCCTCTCTTCCCCTATCCTCGATCTATTTCTGAGGCTCCTCCAACCCCCTGGAGCAGATTTGGACACTGCACAGAGGGCTGTAGCAAGAGAGGAGAGGCAGTGAAGTCCCATTGCGGCAAGAGAAGGCTGTGCACAAATAGCATTCCATACAACTCATTGTTGTTGTCTTTTAATCAAAGCAGCTTGCTGGGTAATTCTAATCGAAAGCTACGTTGTCTTTGCAGGGAGATGCAGTCACATCATGCAGCAGAGATGAACGCCTTGGAAGAGCAGTACAAGAAAGAGCTGCGAAACGAGAGGGCGCATGCCCAGGAGAAGCTGGGTAGGACTCGGGGGCCGAACTACCTGTTACACTGTACAGTAGTAGTCTGGCAGTCCTAGTTGCAGGGGAGGCTGGTCCAACCTTAGCTATAAGGTTATAATGCCCCCACGGTTAGAAGTGAACACTGGGGGCAGCCATGTTTTTGCTGTGCAATTCCCTCTGAGGGTAGCAGAACATCACTGGTCCCTCTGGGGGTCTTGCTCTTCTCTTCAAAGAGTGTGGTGGGAAGAAGCCTTTGACTGTGAGCAGCCAGACATGACAACTGTATTTCTAAGGCGCTGTTAATTTCTGGAGAAGGCATGTTGTTGGCCGAGCAGCCAATTCATTTCCCTTCAGAAAACAACTGAGAAACAACTGTTTAATTTCGGTAGTTCCGTGTGTGGAACATTTTATTTTCCCCTTTTCCCCCTTAGCTGGGATGCAGAAGGAATACAAGTATCTGAAGAATGCGTTCCGTGTGTACCAGGTAAGATTTAAATTATACCACCCGTCTGAAGTAATCCTAAACTCCTACGAGTCTCCTACAAGCCTTAAAGACCAACAGTTAGTTTGTTGCCTAAGATTTTGCGGTGCTCATGAAAGACTGCAGTCCAGTTGTCACAGACATCTTGCATTTCATTGCTGCTTGGTCTATGGCCAGAGCCAGTGTTGCTGCAGTCCCAGCCCAACAGACTGGCTACCTCAGCAATGACAGGGAATTCAGAAATGGCACTGAGCTGCAAAATTAATCTGCAATGCCTGGAGTCTTCTGAACCGCGTACAGAAAAGGAAGGATGATCAGGCTGCCTCAGATGCTCTTGCATAGTTGCCACCCCTTCCCCATTTTCTGATTCATAACCAGTGTTCCCCTGAAGTACTTTGAAGACTTGCAGGCAAAAGAGGGTATAAAATTGCCATCTGGTTGTTGGCATCCGTCTGTCCCGAGAGACAATGGAGTATGTATTGGCAAAACCTATTGGTGTTTCGCAACTTTCTGACTAGTTGCAGGACCTTAGCCAGACCTAGCAGAGTAAACGCAGAATCCATGGAAGCAGCTGGCAACTTGGCTGCAGACAGGATAGACGAAGCAGGAACCAGGAACTTGTAGTTAGGTGTTTATTATATACAGTGGACTGTTTTACAGGAACAGAACACGGATCTTTTGCTAGCTCTCCCTGACATGACTCACAACTCCTACACTCACTGGCACACTGAACTCTGAACCTCTGAACACTGAACTAACACACTCCAGTTAGTAGGTCATTAATTATCACTCCCTTGAGAGAGCTTGACCAATCAGGGAGCTGTCGCCATGTCTCTGTTATCACCAGGCAGACTTACTCCTTCAGATTGCCTTCTGGCTGTCTGCCAAACCTTAATTGACCCTGTGTGAGTAGCTGCACGTACAGTTTCCCAACAGTACGCTTCCAGGGGTGAAGTCGAACCGCTGCGTTAGCACCATCAAAGTGACCTCTCTGGCACGCAAGCCTCAGCAGTGTTTATGGAGGTCCTGGGCTGCCCGGACATCAGAACTCCCCTTTAAATTGGCACCTACATTAAAAAATAATAATCATTTGTTCTCTCTTTAGGATAGTATTTCTGATGAAATGGAGGAGAAGTGGCTGAGAAGGCAAGCGGAATGGAAAAAGAGTGAGAGGACTGAACGGGAGAAGGCCTTGTTACAACAAAGTGAGTACAAGAGACGGGTTGCATCTTATTTGTATTGTGTATTGTACATAGCGGGACATGGGTGGCGCTGTGGGTTAAACCACAGAGCCTAGGACTTGCTGATCAGAAGGTTGACGGTTCGAATCCCCGTGACGGGATGAGCTCCCGTTGCTTGGTCCCTGCTCCTGCCAACCTAGCAGTTCGAAAGCACGTCAAAGTGCAAGTAGATAAATAGGTACAGCTCCAGCGGGAAGGTAAACATTTCTGTGCACTGCTCTGATTCGCCAGAAGCGGCTTAGTTATGCTGGCCACATGACCCAGAAGCTGTACACCGGCTCCTTCGGCCAATAAAGCGAGATGAGCGCCACAACCCCAGAGTTGGCCATGACTGGACCTAATGGTCAGGGGTCACTTTACCTTTATTGTATATAGCAGTGCCAGAGTATTTGGGTTGAAAGGGAAATGGCGTTTGCCCATTCAAATCAATCTGGTGAATACGGTATTTGCTGCCATTATTGCTTTCAGTCTGCAGATGATACGTAACTGATTACTCTCCACCCCCCACCATTGACGTTGCATTTCCTTTGCACTGAAATGAATCGGGTGGAATAACGTGACGGCATTACATTATTTCACCACTGCAGACAGCAGGACAGATAATGTAGCTTTTGCCAGAAGACAAACCACAGCAGCATTGAAGCGCTGCTGCTGCAAACGAAAAATGGAGGGCAGAACGGAAAACGACACCTCCTTATATCTCTGCATGCGTGCAACGATTTGAACCTCAGTTATTTGTGCCTACTTTTGACCCAAGTCCAGTCTGAACTCTGTTCTCATTCATCTGAATTTACGAAGTTCCGCATGTTTTGGCTTTGCTTGGCTCATTCTGATAAATGTTCCTGCTCCCTGTGGAGTCAGATGGGTGGGTGAGCCTTTAATTACTGATATCCTCTCTGCAACCAGAGCAAATTGCTCATTAACTCTCTTTTTTTTCCTTTGCAAGATCTCAATTAACGAGAGTTTACTTTGGCTGCGAGGAGGAAACGGATGATTAAAGCCCACCTACGCTCCCATCTTGCAAACAGAAAAGGAATTGCAATGAAGGGCCAATTCAGGAAGGTCCATGTTAATGGATAGGAAGTGTTAAGAGAATGATAAGGTCTAAGATATAAAATAAATGTTCATAAATGTACCAGGCAAACACATACAAAAATATAAAAACCACATGTCGGAAACAGTACAGGAAAACAGTACAGGAAAACCATTTTGACTCTCCCAAATTGACCTCTACAAGGAGGAAGGAAATGGGGAAAGCTCCCCATTGTCTCTTTGCTCACAAATCCTGTCTTAAGGGTGTATCTGTGTATGAATAGGGTGAGCCTGTGACCTGGACTCAGGAACTGAATATTTACCATCACAAAAGAATGGCCAGGATGCCCAGGTAAAAGCAATCAGTGACCATTATCAGGTATCCTGGCAGAAAGGTTTTCTGCTGTAGACTGTCCCTTCAGTGATGTATGTATGATGTATTGAGTGGCCTTGAGCTACAGGGTGGCCATTTCAAAAGTCTATATAAGAGCTTGCACACCAATGTTCTGGGTTCTTCCTCCCTCCTGCATGTGTGTGGGGTGAGCCACCCTGTTGCAACAATTTAATAAAGATCAGGCTTACTAGCTGCCTTGCTTCTCAAGATTGTCTGATTGGCCTCTGTTATTTTCTCCTACCGATAGGGAACCTACATGAGGACTCTATATGGGCTCTTGGGTACCCCATAAGGGAAAGGGAGCAAGTTTTTTCTTATAACAGGAAGCAACTCATTGTAAAATAAAGAGGCAAGGAGGAGGGAACAGGTCAGCTGTAGGGAAAAGCGGAACCTTTTATGAACAGCACATTTCTGCAGAAATATACATTTTCCATCTAAATGGGCACTGCTGGATTTCTATGGCGAAGACTGCTCTATATTAAGTGCCGTATGGAACCATGTTTTTAATTCTGCTTCCAGGTGGTTGCGGCACTAAAGATCCCTAATGTAAAAGCAGCCAACCTTCTCTTTTCTGTTAAGAGGACACCGCTGTATAAATCTCCCACAGCTAGCAAATCGCGCCCAATGTTTTAAGCACATCGACTTTATTACTAAGAAATATAAAGTTTTGATGACACACATGGTTAATGCAGACCTAAAAATCTAATCTTATCCACAGAGCAATCGTTGACAAAAAAGTTTGAGCAGGCGATGGAAGAACAGAAGCTTATCATTCAGAATAACAGTTTTTTAATAGGCAAAGTTTATGAAAAAGAAAGAGAAGTAAGTGGTGTTTATTATTAAGCACTGTGGGGCTACTGTTCCTTTAACAGAAAACTCTCCCCTTACAAATCCTGCCCCTTCTAATGCTCGCTATTGACATGGCCTGGCAATTAGTGATATCTTGTCCCTTAATTATTCTTATTCTCTTCAGTGGCTGGCTGAAACTACTGGTTGCTGCCATGCTCTTCCTTTACTCCTGTTATATTGCAATAGTATTAAAGGTAAAGGTACCCCTGCCCGTACGGGCCAGTCGTGTCCGACTCTAGGGTTGTGCGCCCATCTCACTTAAGAAGCCGGGGGCCAGCGCTGTCCGGAGACACTTCCGGGTCACGTGGCCAGCGTGACGAAGCTGCAACTGGCGAGCCAGCACCAGCGCAGCACATGGAAACGCCATTTACCTTCCCGCTAGAAATCGGTACCTATTTATCTACTTGCACTTAGGGGTGCTTTCGAACTGCTAGGTGGGCAGGAGCTGGGACTGAAAGACGGGAGCTCACCCCGCCGCGGGGATTCGAACTGCCGACCATGAGATCGGCAAGCCCTAGGCACTGAGGTTTTACCCACAGCGCCACCCGCGTCCCTATAATATAATATAATATAATATAATATAATAATAATATATAAATATAATATAATATTATAAATATAGTATAATATAGTATAATATAATAATATAGTATTATTTTGCTGTAAATAATATAGTATTATTTTGCTGTAAAAATGAAGTTATTGTTGTTGATCTTCAATGAAAGGACAGCAGTAATTTAAGCCTGCGCCTCTGGGGAACAGAGACTAATCCCATTCATTCAGTAATCCCATTCATTGATTAATCGCTATGTAAGGGGCTGAATGGGACGCGGGTGGCGCTGTGGGTTAAACCACAGAGCCTAGGACTTGCCAATCAGAAGGTCGGCGGTTCGAATCGCCACAACGGGTTGAGCTCCCATTGCTCAGTCCCTGCTCCTGCCAACCTAGCAGTTCAAAAGCACGTCAAAGTGCAAGTAGATAACTAGGTACCACTCCAGCGGGAAGGTAAACGGCATTTCCGTGCGCTGCTCTGGTTCGCCAGAAGCGGCTTAGTCATGCTGGCCACATGACCCGGAAGCTGTACTCGGTCAATAAAGCGAGATGAGTTCCGCAACCCCTGAGTTGGCCACGACTGGACCTAATGGTCAGACTTTTACCTTTAAGGGGCTGAACATAAAAATGAAAATGTTGTACTGGACATTAAATGGGGCAGTACCTGAAAGGAGGAAGCTTTCAATTAATGTTGCAAGGGTCCTTTGTTAAATGGAGCCTAGTTGTGAGTCAATATTACACCCAGATTTTGCTGTGCAGAAGGGCAATGTGAGATACTATAGTGCCATGTTCATTCTGCTTCCAGCTGATTGTGAATAATCAGTGCCTTAGCAGCACTAAAAAGTAAGTAAAATATTAAGAAACAAAGAAAAATCAGTACAATATGTTGTAGGAAAGTATTAGAAAGTGTGTTAAAAGTAAGGTAATAATTATAAGTACATTCAAAATCATAAATGTCAACTATATTGCGAAATGATGGGAAGTCCACAATTATTTTATCATTTTATTTTACTTTGATATATGTTATTTTATTTTATGTAATATTATTTGATCTTAGCTTAGTGGAAATCTAAGTGGAATTTGAGGTTTAAATTTACATCTGATAGTAATTCAACTTAAGAATTGTTTTCTTTGTATGTATGTGTGTGAAATTAAATTTGTAATTATATTAATGCATTTCAATAAAGTGGGATAATAATAATAATAATAATAATAGTAGTAGTAGTAGTAGTAGTAGTAGTAGTTTTGGTGTAGAAGCAACCTTAGCCAGAGGTATAGAGAAATGGAGGTTGTTACAGGCTAGCACACTTTCTCTGACGTTCAGTTTTCTTGGAAGGGAAAATCTTTCCAGGATTTCAGCAGTTCTCCTTAGTTTTCATTTTGATTTATCATACAAGTACCGTTTAAGCAGAAGTTTGTATGCGCAGGCATGTGAAGTGCTGATCCGCATGCAGATTAGTTCAGAGTGAGGAGAGCCTTAGAAATAACTAGCTCCCCTAAAATTAAGTGCTAACAAAAATCCTTAGTATCATCAAGAATTTGCAAAAAAAGAGTATGTATATGAAATCTGCCATAAATTAAATAGATCTGCTTTATCCATTCTAGATCCCAAATAACAATTCCCCCCCTCAGTTTTGTCACGTCAGCTGAAGGCTGCTTCTGTGTCAGGCTTGCCAGGGACTGATTTCACCAGTATTAGAGGCACCCCCAAGGCTTCATAATGAGTCTACTTAGAAGTAAATGTTGTTTGAAGATGTGCTTTACTCTACACTATTCCTTACTGTAACTTACATCACTTTTTTCTTTTCCAGGAGTTCCAAAAGCAGCAACAGGAAGCCATGGATCAAATTGCTGAATTAAAAAAACATATTGAGGCAAGTAAGGGACGTGGGTGGCGCCATGGGTTAAACCACAGAGCCTAGGACTTGCCGATCAGAAGGTCGGCAGTTCGAATCTCTGCGACGGGGTGAGCTCCTGTTGCTCAGTCCCTGCTCCTGCCAACCTAGCAGTTCGAAAGCACGTCCAAGTGCAAGTAGATAAATAGGTACTGCTCCGGCAGGAAGGTAAACGGCGTTTCCATGCTCTGCTCTGGTTTGCCAGAAGCGGCTTAGTCATGCTGGTCACATGACCCGGAAGCTGTACACCGGCTCCCTCGGCCACTAAAGTGAGATGAGTGCCGCAACCCCAGAGTCAGCCATGACTGGACCTAATGGTCAGGGGTCCCTTTACCTTTACCTATTGAGGCAAGTATGGTAAACACTTTTGAACAGAATGTAACCGAAACCTCTGTAAAAAAACAAACAGGCAAGACATTCAAGAACCAGCATAGTGAAGTGGTCAAGCTTTGGACTAGGACCAGAGAGACCTGGGTTTGAAATCCCTGTTCAGTCATGAAGCAAACTGCATAATATTTGTTGTTGTTTAGTCGTGTCCGACTCTTCGTGACCCCATGGACCAGAGCACGCCAGGCACTTCTGTCTTCCACTGTCTCCTGCAGTTTGGTCAAACTCATGCTGGTAGCTTCAAGAACACCATCCAACCATCTCATCCTCTGTCGTCCCCTTCTCCTTGTGCCCTCCATCTTTCCCAACATCAGGGTCTTTTCCAGGGAGTCTTCTCTTCTCATGAGGTGGACAAAGTATTGGAACCTCAGCTTCACGATCTGTCCTTCCAGTGAGCACTCAGGGCTGATTTCGTTAACAATGGAATAATTAGCTGTCAGTAATTAGCTGTCAGCCTAACCTTGCAAGGTTGCTTTGAGGATAAAACATGGAGGGCGACCTGAAACTGTTTGGGAAAAGTGTGGGATGTTAACAGCACAGTTGTACCTCGGAAGTCGAATGGAATCCGTTCTGGAAGTCCGTTTGACTTCCAAAATATTCGGAAACCAATCGGAAGCTGCGTCGGACGTTTGGGTTCCAAAGGACGTTCGCAAACTGGAACACTCACTTCCGGGTTTGCGGCGTTCGGGAGCCAAAACGTTCGACTCGCAAAGGCGTTCGACTTCCGAGGTACAACTGTATTAAGAGGACGCGCAGAAATGTTTTCGTTTGAAGTGCTCCTGTTCAGTGATCCTGCCAGCTGGTTATGCCCTATTTCAGGATACTCCAGTCCATTACCTCCCCATCCCACTTTCCGAGACACAACACATTCTTTCACCACTGAGCATGCTTAGTCTTTATTCCCCTTTAGGCAGCCCTGGGCAGAGCCTAGGACTTGTGGATCAGAAGGTTGGTGGTTTGAATCCCCGCGACGGGGTGAGCTCCCATTGCTCGGTCCCTGCTCCTGCCAACCTAGCAGTTCGAAAGCACGTCAAAGTAGATAAATAGGTACCACTCGGGCGGGAAGGTAAACGGCGTTTCCGTGCGCTGCTCTGGTTCACCAGAAGCGGCTTAGTCATGCTGGCCACATGACCTGGAAGCTGTACGCCGGCTCCCTCAGCCAATAAAGCAAGATGAGCGCCGCAACCCCAGAGTCAGCCACGAATGGACCTAATGGTCATGGGTCCCTTTACTTTAATTTTAGGCAGTGTTGGGTGGAACCAGATGGGAAAGGGTGCAGAGCAACGAAGGCACACTCCCCCCATCTTTGTTCAGTAGGCTAGTTTCTACATACAGTATACTCACACTACCCTGTGTTAGATAGATAAAACTTTATTCGCATTAGCCAATGGCCATAGCAACAGTAAACCATTACAGTATACACAGAAAAGGAAATTTGATATAAGAGCACAATTTAAAGTCCTGAATCAGCCGTCAGTTAGTGGCCCTTCTTCTGATTGCCCCTGCTATGAACCTAGCAACCTTTGCTGTTATCTGCTCATTTTGATCTGATAGAAGAAAGGACATTGTGGCAGTGGTTGAGCGCCCTGGGATGGTTAGTACGAGTGGGGTGATGATCTCGTTCCTCAGGTCTTTGTAGAGAGTGCAAGACAGGAGGACGTGTGCCGCTGTTTCGGTGCTGCCGTCTCCACAGGGGCAAAGACGTTTTCCAGGTGGGATCTTTTGGAATCGACCCTCATGTATTGCAGATGGCACAACATCCAGTCTTGCAAGTGTAAAAGCACGTCTGTATTTTGGGATAAGAAGTTTGTGCAGATATGGGGCCAGAGAATCAAAATGGAGAGGGGGAAATTGAACATACCAAGGGCAGAATTTCCTTATAGTGGCCAAGTTTTTCTGATGCTCGATATCTTTTAGACGTTGACCAATTAGACTGTTTGCTTTAGTAGAGCCCATAGTGAGTAGGTGTTGTGGGGATAGGTCGCCACCCTGTATTCTCCATCAAGTAAGAGGCCTTATCAGAGTTCAATGGCACATTCCAGCCAGGCAAAAACATTCAAGAAGGGTGTGAAGCAAGGCCCATGACAGGCAGGACCCACAGAAAGTGGGTGTGGTCTGGCGAGAGTCCTGGGGACTAGACAAGAGAAGCGTGGAGGGCCGCATTTGGCCCCTTGGCCTCAAGTTCTCCACCCCCTGCCCTAAAAGGTTACCGTATTTTTCGCTCTATAAGACGCACCAGACCATAAGACGCACCTAGTTTTTGGAGGAGGAAAACAAGAAAAAATAATATTCTGAATCTCAGAAGCCAGAACAGCAAGAGGGATCGCTGCACAGTGAAAGCAGCAATCCCTCTTGCTGTTCTGGCTTCTGGGATAGCTGCGTAGCCTGTATTCGCTGCATAAGACGCACACACATTTCCCCTTACTTTTTGGGACGGAAAAAGTGAGTCTTATAGAGCAAAAAATACGGTAATTTGTCAATGAAAAGCTCTAGAAGTCTATGAACTTAGGTACTAAAAATGGAAAACAAAACAATGCAGCCAAGGTTATTATTTTGCTGTTGCTACACCAATTTGAAACACCTATAAAATTACATTTAGAAAATAGCCAGCAGGGCTTTTACAGCGTCTGGGTTTTCTGGAGTGAACTTTTCCAGGTGTTCAGCAGTGATCCTTTGGTGCCATGTAAAAAGTACCAGTATCCCAGAAGGCCTTTGTTTAGGAATGTGCTTTGGCTCCAGAGGTGTTTTAGGTATATGGCTTACAGTCCTTTTTTTAGTTTGTTTCATTGTACAGTTCTTAAATTGTCGTTGTGTTGCTCTGCACAGTGGTGCATGTGCAGAATATAAGCATCTTAAAATAATGTGTTCCATCCAATAAAAGGGTTTGGATATGGAAATTAAGGAGAAGAATGAGACTTTGGATGCTATTGCAGCCACTCTTCACAAGACAGAGACTGAACTCCGGAATGAGGTGAGAACTGGGGGATTACCAAGCATTTTTAAAACATCGATACCAGAGTCTCACCCCAGCGGTGATTGGAAGCGGGTTTTGTGGCATGTGTGTGGTTTTCAGCATTTAACTTGTGCTTTCCACATCCGATCTGTGATGGAATATTGCAGCCTGTGCTCTGATAGACTGAAACAGGTATATTCCCGAAGGACTGATAGCATTTATCTTCCCCAGCTTCTGTGACCTCCAGATATTGGACTACAACTCCCATCATCCATGACTATTTGCCATGCCAGATGGGGCTGATGGGATTTGGAGTACCCAAACACATTGAAGTACATGATCATGCAATTGTAAAATTGTCAACAAGTCCCTGTCAGGGAAAGAGGTGGCTTAGAAGTAAATATTTAATAATATACTGATGCCCAGGTCTCAAGTGGGGGATGATGGGAAACCGAACTCTTTGATCTATAGGTAATCTTGCAATGGCTGGAGTTTACAGCAATAATTTAGTGCAATAACTAAGCTCAGATTAGCCCTATGGAGAGGTTGGCTCAAATCCTGTTTTCCCCATATGAGTTCCCAGGTTTAATGCTAATCATTTCCCTTTTAAAGGGATCACAGGTAGCTGTGCCGTCAAAGCCGCCTCCTAATTATCAGGAAGCAGAGAACAATATAGGGCTAGATTTGACTTAACACCTGACATAGATGATATTGGGCAACTCCATATGTTTCGTCTTCTTCCTGCTTGCCCATTCATTCCTTTCCTTCCTCTTTACAGAAAGCCGCCTTGGTGGAAATGGAGAAAAGTATCCAGCAAAAAATTGCATCCATTGAAGAGAAATATCGAATTAACGCCACTACTTTGGTAGAAGAAAATGCCATGCTCAGGTAAGGGGCTAAAATCTCTCCCAAGTCCAGAAACTCAGCCAAATATTTACCTTTGAGCTTCTTAAAGCGCTTTATTGCAGAATTCCTTGATTTATATTGCAACAGAGGTTAGCACATTCCTCAGGAAAAAATAATTTGGCTTTGTCTGTACTAGACATATTGTTCACCTGTCACCACAGCTGGGTGGGTGCTGATAACGGCAAGGTTGCAGGTTCGATCCCCATAAGGAATAGCTGCATATTCCTGCATTGAAAGGGGTTGGACTAGATGATCCTCAGGGTCCCTTCCAACTCCATGATTCACAATCTATGAGTCTACCACACCCCTTTGAATATTCATTTACTCTAAGAGACAAGTTCTCAACATTTAGATATGCTTATGTCACCTAATTTGTTATGTTTAAAACTTCCAAACTGATTTTAATTAACTTTCTGTTGGTTAAGTTATGGCATGACAAGGAGAAGGAAAGAAGCAGTAAGAACATTGTAGGAGAGCTTGCTTTTCCCTTCCCCTTCCTTCCTTCCTTCCCTCCCTCCCTCCTTCCCTTGGGAGCAGATTCTGGGTATGCATGCAGAGAAGAGAGGAAGTCCCATTGTGCAAGTGGAAAGTTGCTTGTGTGGCATTGGATACATCCCAGTGACTTAAAAGTCTTATTGAATCAGATTCCATGGTTTTCAGTGGGACTTAGTCATGAGTAGCTACTGCCCACTAGGACCTGAGGAGCTAAAACAGACATAGCCAGCATGATGTTCTCCAGGTATCACTGGGCTACACCAGGGGTCTGCAACCCACGGCTCTGGAGCCGCATGTGGCTCTTTTACACCTTTGCCGTGGCTCCGGGGCGGATGGTAGCGAGGGAAGGAGGCGCATTGTGCGCCCCGACACTCCCCACTGTGGCGGGCGCTGTACTGGCTGTGACGTCGCATGGGGGCGGTGCGTGCGTTAGTCACGCACCGTCCCGACATCACCTTCCCGGTTTTGCGGCTCCCAGTTTTTTTCCCTCGGAAACGGGTCCAAGTGGCCCTTTTTGTCTTAAAGGTTGCAGACCCCTGGGCTACACCTTTGCATCAGCCCCAACAGCCAAGATGGTGGAAGTACACAACATACCGTATTTTTCGCTCTATAGGACACACTTTTTCCCCTCCAAAAATTAAGGGGAAATGTGTGTGCGTCCTATAGAGCGAATGCAGGATGCGTGGCTAAGCCCAAAGCCAGAACAGGGAGACGGAGTGAATCGCAGCGCTCCGTCTCGCTGTTCTAGCTTGGGGTTAGCTGCGCAAAGCCTCCGCAGGGCAGGGGGGTGAAGGCACCCCGCTGCTGTGCGGAGGCTTCAAAGGCTGCGCTCCGGGGGCTTCAGGCAGCTATCCGCAAGCCTTCGGAGCGCAGCAGGAGTTCCCGCTGCACTCCAAAGGCTTGCAGATAGCTGCCTGAAGCCTGGAGAGTGAGAGGGGTCGGTGCACACCGATCCCTCTTGCTCTCCAGGCTTTGCTTCGCTGGAGAGGCGCTGCACAGTTTTCCCTCTCTGCGCAGAGCCCCTTCAGCGAAGCGGGAGGAGAAATGGAAGGGGCTCCGTTTCTCCTGCCGCTTCGCTGAAGGGGCGCTGAGCAGAGAGGGGGAGAATTTTTCCCTCCTGTTCTCCCCCTCCTATGGTCCGGTGCGTCCTATAGAGTGAAAAATACGGTATATAAAAGACACCATATTGGCTATCCCTGCTGTATGTAGTTGCATATACAGTGGTACCTCGGGTTACATACGCTTCAGGTTACAGACTCCACTAACCCAGAAATAGTACCTCGGGTTAAGAACTTTGCTTCAGGATGAGAACAGAAATTGCGCAGTGGCGGTGCAGCAGGCTCCATTAGCTAAAGTGGTACTTCAGGTTAAGAACAGTTTCAGGTTAAGAATGGACCTCCGGAACAAATTACCGGTAAGTACGTAACCAGAGGTACCACTGTATATAAGTGCAGAAAGATTGTCTAATGCTACTAATCTTCTCCCCAGGCGCAAGCTCATTGAAAAGAATGAAGAGATCTATAATCAACGGGCCCAGCGATCGGGCAGCTATGAAGCATATGACTAGGGGTGTTCAGGGAAAAAGCAACAAAGGTTTGACCATGACATACTGCCAGAAGCCTGAATTTAAAGCCACATATGCAATTCTGTAGTCAGAAAGGGAGATTATTTGTTGTTTACTTCAATCTTGTATCGTGTTTGTTTATATTTGCATGATGCTCTTCAGCTGAAGATCACAGAGTGGTTCACAACATGAAAATAAAAATGAGAACAGAAGATACAAACCAATAATCGTTCCCTCCTGCAAATTTCCCCTTTGGCTCAGGGCACAACACTGAAGCCAGGCAGTCAGGAACCTTGTGGCCTAAGCCAGTCTCAAGAGGTAGTAAGCATCCAAAACTCCTTATTGTCCCACCAGTCTGGGTCAGGAGGTCCCCAGACCTTATTGGATGTCCCTTGAGATTCAGAAATGCAAGAGCGAAAAAGCACACTCCGACCTCTGAACCAGGAGCACACTAACCGGTAGGCCAAGAAAATGGGAATCAGGTGTTATGCCATAAAGCCCACCTAAAACATGTGAGGTAAAGGTAAAGGGACCCCTGACCATTAGGTTGTCGCGGACGACTTTGGGGTTGCGGTGCTCATCTCGCTCTATAGGCTGAGGGAGCCAGCGTACAGCTTCCGGGTCATGTAGCCAGCGTGACTAAGCCGCTTCTGGCGAACCAGAGCAGCGCACGGAAACGCCGTTTACCTTCCCGCCGGAGCGGTACCTATTTATCTACTTGCACTGGTGTGCTTTCGAACTGCTAGGTTTGCAGGAGCAGGGAGAGATCAACGGGAGCTCACCTCGTCGCGGGGATTCAAACCGCCCACCTTCTGATCGGCAAGCCCAATGCTCAGTGGTTTAGACCACTGTGCCACCCGTGTCCATTAAAACATGTGAGGTAGTTAATTGCAATTATATAAAAATAGTAGCTTGAAAGATCAAGTACTCAGTACAAATAGAATACTGCTATAAAGTTGGGAATGGGGAAAATAAAAGATAGACTACGTTGCCTTTCTCTGATTCTAATACAAACCTAAGGGATACCTGACACACATAACCCAGGAATAACTAGTGGACACGTGCACAGACATTGGGGGTGGGGGGAGAATACTCAATAAAGGACAAACCCACTTTTTAGGAAATCAAACCTCATCAGAATTTACCAGCCAATAGAAGCTCTTCTGGCTGGAACTTTCCAGAACTTGAGTACATGTGATCTCACATTTGAACTGTTCCTTTTAATGAAGGCACCGTAACAGAACTTGAGCTAAAAGCCACAGGTAGATAATGCAGACATTCTCAGTACAGTGGTACCTTGGTTTAAGAACAGCTTAGTTTATGAACTAGGATTAAGAACGCTGCAAACCCGGAAGTAGGTGTTTTGGTTTGTGAACTTTGCCTTGGAAGCAGAACATGTTCCGCTTCCTTTTGAGCGTGTGTTCCATTTGTAAATTGAGTCCCCCGCTGCTATGGGAAAGCACACCTTGGTTTAAGACACTTTGGTTTTAGAACGGACTTCCGTAACAGATTAAGTTCGTAAACCAAGGTACCACTGTATGTGATCTCATCCCAATTAATTAATCAGGTGGATTGGTGCAGCATATTAAAAAAAAAACCCAAGATGACAGAACTAGGTACAATGAAACATCCAAGCTCCTTTGATTTAAATTTGGGAGAGCTAAGCAGAAATTTTAGCCTTAATGGGATTTTAAAAAAAATGAATAATGCTGCAGCCTTGAGCACAAGGTCATGTCCAGAGTTATGCGCTATCTACATAATAATTAAGTCATATTTGCATATTGCATGCCCTGCCATAGAACAGAGCTTCAACTCGCTGATCCTTTCTGAACTAGCTTTCATTTCTGCTTAGTTGCAGTGGGTGGATGTGTAACTGTTAGCTGTTCCTATTATCACAGCTTTCAGTCTTGTACAGATATGCTAGCTTTTCACCGGTTCCATGTCTCTGTCCCATAAGGTTGTTTCCCCGAAAGAAAAGCACACACAGACACAGCCATTTTCCTGTTACTCATAAGAAAAAGCTAACTATTTTATTGGGCATTAAGGCAGGATTGAGGCCACACCAGCCAAGAGGATCCTTCTGTGGCGGCAGTTGTAGAAGCAGACAAAGATCTCTTTAGTTCAGAGTTGCCAAAACCTGCACGGTTCTTTCAGGGCGGGGGCATGTATACATGATGACTATGCCATTTGCACACACTTATCTAGAAATGCGTGAATACGTTCTGCACTTCCAGTGAAGAGAACGTGAGATGACTTCTTGTTCACTATTCCTACGTACATTCCAGGCGTCAGATGAAGTCTTTGGGATGCTCAAAGCATGGGGAAGATTATTTGAAAGGCAGGAGTGTGCTTTCTTTACTCTTTCAAAAACCAAGAGCGCTTGTCAAGCAGTCAGCGACCCATAACAAAATCCCTACAGAAAAACAACAGCACAAAAACCCCTACAGCTGTTCTGACACGGGAGGAGGGTCGCTAGGCACTGGGAATATTAATTTCCTCCTGAGAGTGTAAGCTGGTTGTGGCATCTGCTTCTTTAGTCCATTTTTGTCTGAACGTTTGCTCACGTCATCATTGACTGCCGTAAGAATTGACAAGATATCTTCACGCCTGCAGAGAGAATGAGAAGGCAAATATATTAGAATGCAGTATTGTCACCATTAAAGAAGAAAAGCAAAAAACCTGTTGCTGTCCTTTTCTTTAGGATACTCTGAAATCCCTTAAGCCTAAGAAGAATTTGTTAGCTGCATTTGTCTAGTCCTAAATGGAAAAAAAGGGACACGGGTGGCGCTGTGGGTTAAACCACAGAGCCTAGGACTTGTCGATCAGAAGGTCGGCGGTTCGAATCCCCGTGATGGGGGAGCTCCCGTTGCTCAGTCCCTGCTCCTGCCAACCTAGCAGTTCGAAAGCACATCAAAGTGCAAGTAGATAAATAGGTACCACTCTGGCGGGAAGGTAAACGGCATTTCCGTGCACTTCTCTGGTTCGCCAGAAGCGGCTTAGTCGTGCTGGTCACATGACCCGGAAGCTGTACGCCAGCTCCCTCGGCCAATAAAGTGAGATGAGCACTGCAACCCCAGAGTCGGCCACGACTGGACCCAATGGTCAGGGGTCCCTTTACCCTTTACCTTAAAGGAAAAAAGTTAGTGGTCCTCACCACTTTTTACTACACAACCTTTCAAACTCTAAAAGGCAAAACCAAGAGGAGTGCACATGAATATTCAATACAGCTCCTAATGTAAGAATCAGGCTTGAACTGAGGAGCAGACACAATGCAGCACCCTTAAAGGTGCCTTATCCTACTAGATCAGGGATAGCTTGGGGTCTGGATCCTACCCTGCTACCTCACCTTGGCTGAGGATAGTCTACCATCTGCTGAGTCAGCAGCTCGAACAGCAGTTAGTAGTGTCCAAAAAGATGCTTGTCTCATGTCGTGCAGGGTGACAGTTTCCAACTTGTGGAAAACAAAGGCGGCACCACAAACATCTCTGGTTTTGCATCATGAAAGACACTGGCCAAGCTGGTGTTGTTGTTTAGTCGTATCCGACTCTTCGTGACCCCATGGACCAGAGCACGCCAGGCACTCCTGTCTTCCACTGCCTCCCACAGTTTGGTCAGAGGCCAAGCTGGTAGGCTGACCCAGACAGCACCATTTCCTAAGTCGATGTTTGTAGAGGTGCACCAGTCTGACCAGCCACTTTTAACCTGGCTGGCATGAGCCCTGTAGCTTTCCAGCTGGGCATGCCCTCCCTCTATGTTGTACACAAAGGAGAAATTAGCTTTCCCCAAAGAAACTGCAGCATCTCTCTTTAACAGCACCATGCAACATTAACTAATGTCTATACAGTCGTATCTAAGTTCTCGAACAGAAAGTGTTCCGGGAGAACCGTTCGAAAACCAAGGCACAGCTTCCGATTGGCTGCAGGAGGAAAGTCCTGTAGCCAATCGGAAGCCGCGCCGGACGTTTGGCTTCCGAAAACCGGAACACGTTTGGAACCGAAACGTAAGAGTTCCAAGGCTTTCGGCAACCAAGGTACGACTGTATTTCAAAACGTTCAGTGGATTAGCCAACATGAAGGCTTATATAAAGTCAACCAAAATTGGCCCACTGGAATGAGCTACCGTATTTTTCGCCCTATAGGATGCACCAGCCCATAGGACGCACCTAGTTTTTTGGGGGGGAAATGAAGAAAAAAAAATTTATTCCCCCCCAGCCGCGGGAACTCCCGCAGGGCTCCCTAGGCTGCGGATAGCTTCCCGAAGCACGGGGCGCTCTGCTTCAGTGCGCCCCGCGCTCCAGGCAAGCAGGCTGCTATCCGCAGCCTAGGGAGCCCTGCGGGAACTCCCGCGGGCTCCCCAGGCTTATGGATAGCTTCCTGAAGCCTGGAGAGCGAGAGGGGTCGGTTCGCACCGACCCATCTCGCTCTCCAAGCTTCAGCGAAAGCCTGCATTCGCCCCATAGGACGCACACACATTTCCCCTTCATTTTTGGAGGGGAAAAAGTGCGTCCTATAGGGCGAAAAATACGGTAACCTAAATCTGTTGCTTTCAATGGGTCTGCTAAGAGTATGACTTAGTTACGTACAATCCAATGTATTTTATCCAAAATGCCAGGTTAATGCCGAGAAAGACTGTCACACATAATAAGTAAAAGTATCACCTTGGAACCAGCTCCCGCAGCTTCTCGCAGAGGCCCTGAATGAACCATGTGCCACGCTGCACATCACGGTAAGAAAAATAACCATCCACTGTGGCCATGCCAAGGAGGAAGTCTGCCTCTTCGGGGATGCTTGAGGCCATCTGCTGTTGTGTCGGAATAAATCCTGAAGTTTGGGCATCTGCTCCAAGGGAGCCCAACTCGTGATTGTCTGCTTCAAGGTAAACAGGTTGGTGCGGCTTGCTACCTTGACAAGCCTGGATGAAAAACAGTTTGGGCTTCTTAGCCAGTAAAGGACATTGTTTGGCTGTGAAGAAAGATGTGATTTTATTGATGGAGATGAGACAGCCATCCGCCGCATAAATTTTCCCAGATTCGCCGTGAGACAGAATGCAGCACACAAGACAATCACTGCCTTTCCAGTATTCAGAAGACTGCCAGTCGTTTAGAAGTTGGAGAAGTTCGTCTGATGTCTTGTCATCATATTTTTTCACTTCAAACCCAAGCCATTTGAACACACTTTCCAATTCCACTGTCAGAGAGAAGGGGGAGAGCAGAGAGATGGCAGTAAACACCAACAAAACAGGTGTGCCAATTTAACAGGAAAAAGTTTGATGCATCAATTTAAACCCTGATCCCATAAAGGCAGCTTCCAGTTATACCTTTTATAATCAGGATTTCTATACTGTCATTAGGGTAAAACAGATTTGATACAATACAATCACTGATAAAAGTGTTTAATATAGAAATCACCATATTTTTCGCTCTATAAGACGCACCTGACCACAAGATGCACCTAGTTTTTGGAGGAGGAAAACAAGAAAAAAAATATTCTGAATCTCAGAAGCCAGAACAGCAAGAGGGATCGCTGCGCAGTGAAAGCAGCAATCCCTCTTGCGGTTCTTGCTTCTGGGATAGCTGCACAGCCTGCATTCGCTCCATAAGACGCACACACATTTCCCCTTACTTTTTAGGAGGGAAAAAGTGAGTCATAGAGCAAAAAATACGGTATTTGCTTTCCATCAATAATCACAACTACATTGACTATCCCAAGGCTAACACATTCCAGTAAGGTGCAGAATGAGGAAAACTGCATTGTGGAGAGGTTTGTAAAAAGCAATGAAAGCCTGCTCATTTCTACAGGATTAACCCAAATGTTTATGCCAATTTCTATGCCATTTCTATGCCAAACATCTTCACCAAGCCACCCATCTCCTTGAATACAGCTTTCAGTAGACAAGTTATGGTTGTTTTAGGAGTTTTCTCCAAGCTCTCAGACCCCGTAAGTTTCTTCTCAGCACTTAAGAGTACAAAAATCTAAGGATCTTTTCTGGACACTTCCATAAACGCAGAAAGGTTTCTGTACCCTGAAACCACATTAAACTTGCAAACCAACAATAACTTCCTTGCTACGTATATGAAAACACTTATTTTGAAAGGTATTAAAGAGAGGCAAGACACACGCTTGACAAGTCACTTACTGGCATCTTTTTGAGATCCTGCTCTGGGTTTCAAACGTCCCTTGAAATAGACGTTATTAAAAATAAGGCAATATCCTCTGCGAGACCTGTTCATTTTATAGAGAGCAGACACCTGTGGAATAAGGGGAAGTCAGACTTCATCATCTTATCCAGTCTGTTTTATCTATCTCACATCATCTCAGGCAGTGATACTGTTAGGTAGATTTTGGATTTATAGAAACCCTCTTTATACGGTAACGTGCCTTATGTTGCTTACTTAAAAACACTGCTCGTTATGGCAAACTGTGCTCTGGATCTCTGCTCCTAAGACTTAACCCTAACAGCACCACTGATCTTAAATCTAGATTGAAGGCTGGAGGTGAGTTTAAATACCTGTGGGATTCCTCAAGAAAATAAGACTTTCTGCAAAAAACAACAACACCCAGGTATTTGTGCACAAACATGTCCAGTACTAGGATAGGTACGGCTCCTTAGCAAGGGTGGCTTAAAGGTAAAGGTAAAGGGACCCCTGATCATTAGGTCCAGTCATGGCCGACTCTGGGGTTGTGGCGCTCATCTCGCTTTATTGGCCAAGGGAGCCGGTGTACAGCTTCCGGGTCATGTAGCCAGCATGACTAAGCCGCTTCTGGCGAACCTGAGCAGCGCACGGAAACACTGTTTACCTTCCCACCAGAACAGTACCTATTTATCTACTTGCACTTTGACGTGCTTTTGAACTACTAGGTTGGCAGGAGCAGGGACCGAGCAACTGGAGCTCACCCCGTCGCGGGGATCAAACCGCCAACCTTCTGATTGGCAAGTCCTAGGCTCTGTGGTTTAACCCACAGTGCCACCCGGGTCCCATCGTAAGGGTGGCTTACTCCACACCAAATTCCTTGGGGAGGAAGTCCACACTGTGCAATTTAACATGAATTTTACTATCTAACGAGACCACTGATCCATAAAATGAAGGCAATAAACAATGTACTGCAGTCACGCAATCAATGTCAGTAGCTGAACTGGGTTCCACAAAGTCACAAAAACAAAAAAGAGCCACAAAAAAGCAAATAGCAAAAACAGACTTCAGCGTAACTCTCAAATCGGAAGTGCTGCACTCAGATCAGAAGCATAACACTCAAAATGGAGCATGTTCAGCTTCCGAAAAAGGTTCGCAAACCGGAACACTTACTTCCAGGTTTGCAGTGTTTGGGTTCCAAGTTGTTTGAGTACCAAGGTGTTTGAGAACCAAGGTACCACTGTATATTATATTCGTGCTAGCAGGATGGTATGAGCAAGAGAAGGGCAGCTAGCCAGAATGGTTTTTCTTTTCTTTTTTTAATTCATTCTTGTATTTATATTTTGTACATTTATTTACAAAGTAATAATCATAAATAAATAAGAATAAAAATACAGTGGTGCCTCGCAAGACGAAATTAATTCGTTCCGCGAGTTTTTTCGTCTTGCGGTTTTTTCCGTCTTGCGAAGTACGGTGTCGGAAAAGTTTTGGAAAAGCTTCAAAAATCACCAAAGTCTTCAAAAACCTCAAAAAAGGCTACCACACCGCGTGCTATGAGTTGCTCCTCGAAGTCAAGTCGCAACTGTATTAACGGTTTTAAGAAAAAGGAAACAAACTTGCAAGACGTTTCCGTCTTGCGAAGCAAGCCCATAGGGAAAATTGTCTTGCGAAGCAACCCAAAAAACCAAAAACCCTTTCGTTTTGCGAGTTTTCCGTCTTGCGAGGTACCACTGTATGCACCCCACCACCGAGACCATTCCATTGTAACTATCTAACCTCCCAAAATTTCAACACCTCTTGCGATGGTTTGACCCCTTTCTGTTTTAACAGTGCAAATTCTACACACTCCTTTCATATCTCCTCAAAATAATTTCTCCTGCATATTCCCTGTCTTAACTTAATGGCACATGTTGATTTATCGTTCATAGCTATATCCCACACTTTTATACCATTCTTCCATTTTATACTCTGCTTGCCCCTTCCACTTCCTAGCTATAATAAGTCGTGCAGCTGTCAATAAATTTGTGAGCAAGTGCTTCGCAGCCTGCAAACCTTCCACCCCATCGTAAATTGATAATAATGCTACCATAATAATGCTAATGGACTTTTGGTCAACTTTAACCCAGTGAACTCTGTTATCTCCTTAAACACCCTTTGCCAATTTTTTAAAAAAACATATTTACACCCCCACCACATGTGAATATAACTCCCTGTTTCCTGGCATCCCCTCCAACATAATACTGAATATTCCTTGTTTATTTGATTTAATCTGACTGGTGTTAAATACCATCTCCAAATTAATTTAGAATAATTTTCTTTTCTTCATATAGACAACATTTTCAACGTACTATTCTCCCATATTTCCCCCCAGCTTTGACTATCTGCCACACCTCTTTTAATTTGTATTCTTGATCTTCCATTTCTACTAGTTTTTATAAATTTCACTGGTTTCCCCTTTTATAACTGTATTGTTTTCTTTATCTCCCCCTTTTATAACCATTTTTTCAAATTTTGTACATTCTTTGCAGTTCTTGTTTTCCCTTAACCACTTCTTTGTCCATTACTCCAGTTGTATACAGTTAAACCAAGTTACCTTACTTCCTGTTAGAACTTCTCTTATTTGTTCTTTGCTTCTCATTTTCTCCACCCAACCCTTTATTCTAAGTATTTTCTTCACTTTCACTTTCCTTTTTAAAAATTTACTGGGAAGTCTTCTATCACCACCACCAGAGTTAGTGGGGAACTTGTTAGTTTCAATTTTCCTTTATGTTTCACCCATATCTCAATGATATTCCTTAATAAAGGATTTTCAATATTCTGCCACCTTTGCCTATTTGGTTTGATAAAAAAATATATTCACTAACTTCTCCCTCATTTCCTGTGTACCAATCTCTAACTAGAGAATGGTCCTTATGGCAGGTTGCACAACACATTGCTGCAAAGCTGATATTTCCTGTTGCACAAGCTTTTGCTGGCGCAACTGTTGTGCTGGAAGTCATATGGTGCCACCATTATTCTTTTCTTTCATTAATTTGCATTTTCAAAAACAGGAACAGAGAGCATATTTAACCCCCCTCCCCCTGTCCCACTTACAACTTTGTACCAAATACAGCATGTGTACCATAGGACTTGCCTTCCAACTTTTCCTGGTTTCTTTTGCTTTTCTTCTACTCTGCATAATCCACATCTCTGTGGATTTGCTCGAGACCTGCCAAGCTATGTATTTGTCTATACTGGTTCTTAAAATATTCAATAAACATTGTCCATTCCTCCTTGTATTCCTCATCTTCGTTTTCTCTTATCTGGTTCATCAAACCAGCCAGTTCAGCGTATTCAAACAGTTTACACTGCTATTCTTTCTTAAGTGGGTACTATACTTATTCTCCACCTTTGTGCCAATATGGTTCTAGCTGCGGTGGGGGCATATAGTAATAAACTTTTGTTTTTGGGGGACCTCCATTGTTACCATTCCCAAGAGGGAAATCTCAGGTGTTTTTGGGAAAGTTTTTAAAAGTATCTTTTAAAATTCATTATATATAGTTTCCCAATAGATAAAGGTAAAGGGACCCCTGACCATTAGGTCCAGTCGTGGCCGACTCTGGGGTTGCGCGCTCATCTCGCTCTATAGGCCGAGGGAGCGGGCGTTTGTCCGCAGACAGCTTCTGGGTCCTGTGGCCAGCAGGACTAAGCCGCTTCTGGCAAACCAGAGCAGCGCACAGAAACGCCGTTTACCTTCCCGCCGGAGCGGTACCTATTTATCTACTTGCACTTTGACGTGCTTTTGAACTGCTAGGTTGGCAGGAGCAGGGACTGAGCAACGGGAGCTCACCCTGTCGCGGGGATTCGAACCACCGACCTTCTGATCGGCAAGTCCTAGGCTCTGTGGTTTAACTCACAGCGCCACCCGCATCTGTTTCCAATAGTGAACATTTACTTCCCTGCTGGCAAGCAATACCCCTCCCATTGTCTGTCTCCAGCATGCGGTATTGATGTGCTTCTAAAAACAGGGACTGAGTTTAGCATCTTGGCTTGCAAACGGGACTAATATTTCCAGGGCCGGCTCTACTATTAATCAGTGAGGGTAACCACCACAGACAGCAGGTTTGGGGTGTTACGAAAAGGACAGCAGCCTGTTAAGTTATTTCACCTGTTGTTGTGGTAGGCTTAGTGGGAGAAAGCAGGAGAGGCACTCATGGGAGTTTCTGCGCCACGAACCAAATTAACCTGGCTGGTTTTGGGAACTTGAAAGAAGGATGCACCATTTGCTGCTGGCTGTAAAAGCTATGGTTTTCCCAGTAGTGATGTATGGAAGTGAAAGCTGGACCATAAAGAAGGCTGATCGCTGAAGAATTGATGCTTTTGAATTCTGGTGCTGGATGAGACTCTTGAGAGTCCCATGGACTGCAAGAAGATCAGAACTGTCCATTCTTAAGGAAATCAGCCCTGAGTGCTCACGGGAAGGACAGATCCTGAAGCTGAGGCTCCAATACTTTGGCCACCTCATGAGAAGAGAAGACTCCCTTGAAAAGACCTTGATGTTGGGAAAGATGGAGGGCACAAGGAGAAGGGGACGACAGAGGACGAGATGGTTGGATAGTGTTTGCGAAGCTACCAGCGTGACTTTGACCAAACTGCGGGAGGCAGTAGAGGACAGGAGTGCCTGGCGTGCTCTGGTCCATGGGGTCACGAAGAGTCGGACACGACTAAACAACAAGAAGCTCCTCACAGAGGAAAATTTATTGGCTGGCTGGCCCAGATTTGTTTCAAGGACAGGAAGTCCTCCTGTGTCACTGGGAACCAGGCCCATCCAACCCTGGGGTTGTGGCCTTCAGGTGTTCTGGGATTCTCATCACCCACTACCCTCGTCTCAGCTGGAGTTGGGAGTTCAATAGCATCCAGAGAACGATGAGTTCTCCATCCCTGTCTGGCAAATCTTTCCAGAAGATCAGCACAAAGCTATCCTGGTTACCCCTGGGTGGTCCCAAGCTCCATTGGGAGGAAGGTTGGGGTATAAATCCAATGAAAGGTGTAGTGATGTTATGAAATCTGAACAAGACAAACTTTGGCCAAGCCAGGGAAAGGCATTGTGGGAGAACCAAAGACTAGAGAATTATGGGGAATGTGTTTCTGTTTTCTTTAACCGTAGACTTAGTGTCTCTGAAAGTGTGAATAAGCTATCTCCTCCATCTGCAGGAAGGAAGCTTCCTAGTTGATTTTGGGGCCCTAACACCTGGTTATTTACGACATTGTTTCTGTGTGAATAGAGTCACCAACCTTATTACAGCAAGAATGTGGATCTGGTGTGTGTCTGAGAATTGGGAGGATATTCTTTCATCTCAAGGTCTTGAGATAAACAAGGTTCAGCTGCCCACAAGCTGAGTTATCGCCCGACTGTGTAACCATTGTTGTTGTTGTTTAGTCATTTAGTCGTGTCCGACTCTTCATGACCCCATGGACCAGAGCACACGAGGCACTCCTGTCTTCCACTGCCTCCCGCAGTTTGGTCAAACTCATGCTGGTAGCTTCGAGAACACTGTGCAGCCATCTCGTCCTCTGTCGTCCCCTTCTCCTTGTGCCCTCCATCTTTCCCAACATCAGGGTCTTTTCCAGGGAGTCTTCTCTTCTCATGAGGTGGCCAAAGTATTGGAGCCTCAGCTTCAGGATCTGTCCTTCCCGTATAGCTTTTACTATACGGACCTTTGGTGACCTCTACTTTTTAAGATGCTGTCTTTTTAAGATGCTACTTTTTAAGATGCTTTTTAAGATGTGTAACCATTGGCGATTCTTAATTAATCAGAATAACTGATTGGCCCTTGAGTTCGAATACACATGGGTTCCCAGGGATAAAATCTTAGGGAACTGAGTTGCAATTTGCCGCTGCCCATCCTGCCAGGCTTACCATCATGTCTGCAGCCACCATCCTCTCTACATTCATATGCGCATTATTTGTGATGTAGAGTATTTGCCTGAAATGCGGAATCAACCGAGAACCTTACAAACTATCCTAAGTCTTCTTTGTTCTCGTTTGTGAGTATGGTTAGTTAGTGATGTTAAACAATGTTTTTATTTCACTGTTTGAAACTTGTAAGAGATGTGCCAGCGTTTAAGTTTGAATGATCTTGTTTTTTAAATAAATTTTGGGGAAAGGATTTTCCTGTTCCGTCTTTTGTGCCTTCTGCTGGGGAAGTCCAAGTCCAATGCCTGGCCACTTGGTCACCTACCAGACCTGTTGAATTTCTGCCTGAAATGTGGTAAAGCAATACAGGGTGGGACAGCCCGTTGAAGAGTAATCTTCTTCCTTAGGTTATTCTTCTGGACTGTCCTAAGATAAGGAAGTGGTGGCAGCAACTACTGTTTCTGTTGTGTTTTGTTCTGAAAAACCAGCTTCGGCACACCCCTCTCTCTCAGCCGGGTCTTACCGGACTTCGAGGGCGTGTGCCAGAATTGCTACAAAAGGTATTGCCTCTTTCTATCTTAAGGTATCTCTCTTTATGGACAGATGCCAATTTTATATTTTGACTCATGTGTTTTTGTATTCTCAATATGCCAATAAAGGTGACTGATTGGGGACAGATGGACCCGAGTTCAAGGTTTTTGGTCTCAAGCTCTACTGCTACCACTATTAAGCACATGAACAGAATGAGGCTGTAACGGGTTATTTACAGACTTAAGGAAGGGCCAGTTGTATTCAATAAACCCTTCAGAACATGCCAAACCTCTGCTGGTTTCAGTTGATCCTGTCCTGCAGGCTGTTGCAAACTCGGCTCTTGCACATTTCCAGCTTTTAAATCTGCAAGGCAAATACAGGGATGCACTTGGGTTCAGATTTTGGTTAGAACACTGCCTAAAAAATAAAAAAGGGTGACAAAAATAACCCCTTAAAAATGCAAAATCATTTTCTCTATGCCTGCATTTAGACAACCAATTCTCCACTTAACGGCCTCGGTCCAGTATACCTGAAGGAGCATCTCCACCTCCATCATTCTGCCCAGACACTGAGGTCCAGTGCCGAGGGCCTTCTGATGGTTCCCTCGATGTGAGAAGCCAAGTTACAGGGAACCAGGCAGAGGGCCTTCTCGGTAGTGGCACCCGCCCTGTGGAACGCCCTCCCACCAGATGTCAAAGAGAAAAATACCTACCAAACTTTTAGAAGACATCTAAAGGCAGCCCTGTTTAGGGAGGCTTTTAATGTTTAATATGTTACTGTGTTTTAGTGTTTGCTGGAAGCCGCCCAGAGTGGCTGGGGAAACCCAGCCAGATGGGCGGGGTATAAATTATTATTATTATTATTATTATTATTATTATTATTATTATTAAGCCAAGACGTGAATGAGCCTCGTGCTCCCAGGCGTACCTGCTTCATTCCCTGCTTTGCACAGGCGAACTCTAGTTTCCCGCAGCGTTCAAACAGAGAAATCACGGTTCATGGCTTCTGAACACGACAGTATGTGAAGCTATGGTTTAAAGATGGTTTCTTCAGTTGCATATCAGTTTTCCCTGTTCAGATCTCAACGGGAAGCTAATCAAAGACTTCCTGGCTTGTTTGTAACTCAAACAAAGTGTGGAATGAAGTGGCTGATGGCGTTGAGGGCACAAGGCTGCTTAGTCTTGAGGCTTGCTAAGCTGATATACAGGCCACTTTCAGACAATCATCTCTCTTTTCCTTTCTGCACATTCAATCAAAGACACCTCACAGACCCCTACACAGAGAACAGCTCAGAATAACAAAAAAAGCAAGAACCTACGACCCATCTCACCTTGACTTGCACCAAAGGAGTGCAGACGTCCAGAATACTCCCTCATGCTCCCAGATTCTTCAGTGTGGGGATCTGTTTGGAAGGAAAAGGAAAAGGTGTTATAAATAATAAATTAATTAATCCAGAATGTGGCAGCTAGACTGGTGACTGGGAGCAGCCGCTGAGACCATATAACACCAGTCCTGAAAGATCTTCATTGGCTCCCAGTATGTTTCTGAGCACAATTCAAAGTGTTGGTGCTGACCTTGAAAGCCCTAAACGGCCTCGGTCCTGATATCTGAAGGAGCGTCTCCACCCCCATCATCCAGCCCAGACACTGAGGTCCAGCTCCGAGGGCCTTCTGGCGGTTCATTTCTCCCTACAAAAGTACTCAACTCTGCCACCACTACCCCCCATACCCTCTTGTCAGCAGAATTATCAAGAATAGAAGGGTGCTGGATTTATAAGAGTATATATTTAAAGTAGACAAATAAATGAGCAAACTAAGTTAATTTGGATATGCAGAAAATATAAAAAATAAATTTAAGGAACCGCAGAAATAGGGGGATGGAAGTCAAGTTTTGAAATGTTAAAATGATTATAAAATTACTGAAATGTATAAAATTGAAAATCATATTTAAAAAAAAAAAAGAATAAAAGGGTGCCATTTATAAAACAACGACTTAGCCATGTCCATTTATTTCAGTGGGTTTACTCTGAGTAAAACTTAGTTGAAGACAACCCTTAGATCTAAATATGCATATTAGGAAGGCAAGACCTTTCAATACTTACAATGATTTCTTGGTGGGTCATTGACAGAGAGTCCCTGTATGGGAAACAAAAGAAAGATTTCACTTGCAAATATTCCATGCAGAGAAGAGAAAAGCAACAAGATCATGACCAAAAGCATCTGATCACAAGATATTTAGTCAGGACGCATTAAACTGCTCTGATCCTTCTTTTTAAATTACATCTTCATCACCAGCTGGGTTTGCGCATCACACCAAGCCAAACTGTGGCTTAATATGAATGTGCATATTTCCATAAAGGAAATTGTGGCTGCTTTGCTCCTGCCGAGGTGTTCTGCTGCTAACTTATACCACAGTTTGTATTACCATGTTGCCCGAACATAGGTTCATTGTTTAGCCCTCACCAGACTAACACAAGCAAGTAACCAAAGTTTACTTTTGATTCGTGGCTTTTCTAGCTCAGCACAGCAGCAGAATGATCAGAGAGAAAAGGTCGCAATTTCCTCTCTCCGAGCCTGTGCCCTTGTGGCTAAGCCATCGTTTGGCCCTGGCTGATGTGCCACCACTGATGTGTCACAGTGTTAATCTGTGTGCCTCTTCTGCGCATACATGAGAGCTCAAAGTTCGAAATAATTTCTATACACTAAATGTGCTTAATAACATCCATGCACCTTCGCACATCCTGATAAACTAATTGCAGCCTTCTGAAAAGGAAAGGTGGGGTTTTAGCTGTAGCTTCTGCTACAACAGAATGGTGCTTAGATGCAGCAAAGACAATTAACTACAAAGGGGAATCGTTGCGCTCAAAGAGGCAACAAACGACAGCACACAAGACAGGTTTCTATCCAGATCAGTAGCACCAACATTATTGGACTATGAAGATGACAAGGCTAACTGGGAAAATCAGAAACCAGGAGAATCAAAACTTCAATAAAGAATGGGACAAATTTTCATTATATTGGAAAGATCGCTGTAAACACCTGAACTCTTTGGCAGGTTTTAAATAACTCTTGCAATGTTACACAATGGAGAAGGGTAAATTAGATGGACTTATAATATTTAGTTTAAAAAGTTACGTAGAGTACCCATGGAGGGGAGGAGGGAAGTCTTGAGATTCGGAAGAATCTTGTGTTATTTCTATTATTTGTGATTATAAATGTGAATGGAGTTGTAAAATAAAATGTGAATGGAGTTGTAAAAATAATATAAGGCAAAATGAATGAAGGCATCTACCTAAGTAGAGAAGCATAAAAACTGACCATGCACAAAATGCAGTATGGTTAAACTATTTCCACTTTGTGTGAATTTTAAAAAATAGCTACCAATCCAGTAGCAAGACAAGAGCCAAGTGAGCAATACTGACCTGTCACTCCACTGATGTGTGGGGGGGTGTCTATATGCATTTTATAATATATAAAAAAGTTTTTGTGTGTGAATACACAGATACCCCCCCACCCCACCCTTCTTCCCATAAACAAACAAATAAGGGTCACGTATTGCTTGATGGGGTTAAGTGGGAACCAGGTCCGAAAACATCGTAGACTACCCCTGAAAGCAGCAACCAACACAAAGTTGGGGGTGGGGAATCAAATGGTGTACAGTTTATACCTCAGGTTGAAGTAGCTTCAGGTTGAGCATTTTCGGGGTGCGTTACTTCCGGGTTTCGCCACTCGTGCATGCGCAGACGTTCAAAATGACATCACACACATGCGCGGAAGCGGCGAATTGCGACCCACACAGATGCACAGACGCAGGTTGCGTTCGCTTCAGGATGTGAACGGGCCTCCGGAACGGATCCCGTTCGCATCCAGAGGTACCACTATATAACAAAATGATAGATAGAAGGAAATATTTTCTTGCAGCATACCTTGAGTAAATAAAATCCACCAGCACCAGGAGAGGGCAGAGTTTCCGTGCTTTGTTCTTTAGACTCTGCCGGTTACAAGGGATGAGAGAACAAAAAAGGTTGAGAGTCATGCCTTCCTTTGCCTAGCAAGAACTACGTAATAGGAATAATCGGTACAGATGACTGGTCCTAGAAGTCTGCTGTGAGGATTAAGCTGAGGGAGCTCTAGGTAGTCAACTATCAACAAACAGAACAGAATGGAAGGCTTTTGCGCAGCCTGTCTCCATTTGGCTTCAGATGTTGTTGGTCTCCCAACTTGCACCAGACCCAGCCAGCATGGCCAATGTTGCCGGTCTGCAACTCCAAACACTACTAGTTTAGTCGAGATTCCTGTACTGCAGGGGGTTGGACTAGATGACTTTGGGTGTCCCCTTCCACCTCTACAATCCTATGATCGCTAGCATTACGGCTGGGGCTTATGGAAGCTCAAGACCAAAACTTCTGAAGGACCACTGTGGCGTTTGCCCTCCTAGGTGACATCATGCTGGGTCATAAGGAAAGGGTTAAATGAGTGTGAAGTGATTGGCAAGTGGGAACCCAAGGGGAGGAGTCAGAGTTAGAGTTAGTGTTGTTGAGAGTCAGTCGGGTGTTAGAGAAGGGAGAGTGAGGATACGTCTGTGGGTTGGGATAGGTTGATATGAGAGAGTGAGAGAATCTGTTACGAGGAGTCAGATAGACAGTTGGGATAATTAGTTAGAAGTTATTAGGAAGGTATAGGCCGGTAAGGAAACTAGTATTAAGAAACTGACAAGAAAAATTATCTGAAACCATAAACTAGTTAAGGCTTATAAAATAAACTTGTTTATTTGGTTTAATGTTAAAAACTGTCTGGACTCCGTGTGTACCTGAGAGAAACGGGTTGGTGGCAAAGGGGAAGCAATCCCAGTGGTGGCACAGGGATCAATAGACCGTCAAACGTCCGGGGACCCTGTGTGATCGCCACAACCACACATTCCTCGCCATCCCTGCCCCCAGCCATAGCGCTGATGATAGGTATTTGATTTACCCTGAACACAGAGCATTCATATTCCTGTTTACATACAAAGAAGCGAGACAGATAGCCGATTGGTCTTGAGCAAGTCGCCCAAACTACAGGGCATTCATCTCCACAACCCCATTTCCATTTCAACATTCACATCTCACGTAGATGAGAAGCTCTCATGTTAGAAAGTCAGCGAGGAAACCAGGAGCAAGTTAGGAATGAGTTCAAGATTTCTTAAGGCAGATTAAACAAAAAGGAAATGTATCCCATGATTAAATAATAAAAAAGGAACAAATTGGGATCAGAAAAAGTGAATGATAAAACACTGATTCATAGATTTAAAACACAGGTGAAAAGTAACCAATGAATTTGCCGATCCAGCTATAGAGGGTTTTTTTTTAGAAGGGGGTTAACTTCCCCCCTTCTAAAAGGAAGGAAAGTGTGTTGTGCTTTTCTCCCTGATGCCTCTTCTTGTTATAAAAACTTAGCCCTCTTCTACCCCATTTTACAGCGAACCTGGCAAGGCCAAATCTAACACATACCCATTTTTAAATTGGGCCTTAGTTGCATTGCCATTATCAACCTACACGAGACAATGCCAGTAGCTACTGTCTGATAAGATAAGAGGAACAACTAAGTTCATTTTGGTCAATTTGTAAGGAGATGATCTACTCAAAATTAGACACCTTGTCTTTCTTTATATGCTGCCAGTATTTTCAGGAGTTCGGGCGATATCTTCTGACAGGTTTCTTCCAGCAGAGAGATATTGGTCTCCGATATAAGGCCTTGCTTCTCCAGGCAAGTCAACAGTTCTAGAGCAGACTAGGAGAAAAAGTAAACACAATAGCTGCGTCCTTGCTTATATCTCACGCCCCGGCCAGGAATCACCAAGTCTTTCTACATTTTAAGAGAAGTGTTTCTCAGCAACAACAAACTCCCATGTGTTTCCTGTGCTCCCCAACCAAAGTGATGAAATTATTCTGAAAGCCAACACAGAACAGGCCAAATAAATCCCTGCAACTTTACAGACCTAGTCTTTTTTTAAACACTGAGCATCTCAGATGGTATCAGGAGCAGCCAGAGTCAAGTGTAGGTCAGCAATTTTTTTTAAAAAAGTGTCCGTACAAGTTAACTCTTTAGTCAATGAAAGCAAACCAGTGCAGGCCTATTGATCCAATGAAGCAGTTGTGAGGAGTGAAGATCCCAACCTTCTCAATACTCTCTAACGTTCCTCCTCTCCAGGGTCATTCCCAGTCACATTTGTAATAGTTGTTATTGGCCCAGTATACCTGAAGGAGCATCTCCACCCCCATCGTTCAACCTGGACACCGAGGTCCAGCGCCGAAGGCCTTTTGGCGGTTCCCTCCCTGCGAGAAGCGAGGTTGCAGGGAACCAGGCAGAGGGCCTTCTCAGTAGTGGCGCCAGCCCTGTGGAACGCCCTCCCATCAGATGTCAAGGAAATAAACAACTATCTGACTTTTAGAAGACATCTGAAGGCAGCCCTGTTTAGGGACGTTTTTAAATTTTGATGTTTTATCGTGTTTTTTTATATTCTGTTGGGAGCCACCCAGAGTGGAGAAACCCAGCCAGATGGAAGAGAGAGAATTTTATACAATATTCTATGCAATATTTTAATGTTTCGCTTATTTATTGCTTTGTGAGCCGCCCAGATAACTTCCATTATGGAGTAACTATATAAACGTAAGAGGGACGCAGGTGGCGCTGTGGGTTAAACTACAGAGCCTAGGACTTGCCGATCAGAAGGTCGGCGGTTCGAATCCCCGCAACGGGGTGAGCTCTCGTTGCTCGGTCCCAGCTCCTGCCAACCTAGCAGTTCGAAAGCACGTCAAAGTGCAAGTAGATAAATAGGTACCGCTCTGGCGGGAAGGTAAACGGCGTTTCTGTGCGCTGCTCTGGTTCGCCAGAAGCGGCTTAGTCATGCTGGCCACATGACCCGGAAGCTGTACACCAGCTCCCTCAGCCAATAAAGTGAGATGAGCGCCGCAACCCCAGAGTCGGTCACAACTGGACCCTTTACCTTTATATAAACGTAAAAATAATATAAATATGTGCAAGTTGCCATGTTTTCACACAGTGAGTTTATCCCATAATGAACATGCATGTGTATGTTGCAAGTTCTCCGTGACAGAGAAGCAACGCACATGCTCAAATGGGCTTCTTCTTTCTCTTTACTTTGTGACATGATCCAAAGTTTACCCAAATGCCCTCCAGAAGTCACAGACTACAGCTCCCAGCAGCCCCATCAGAACATCTGAAGGTCACCAAGTTGGGGAAGGCTGTCCTACTGCTCCTTTCCTTAACTCTCACACTGACCATCACAGTACAGTTACAATCTTTCTGGGCATTTCCCCCAGCCCACTAGAATGGAACTATTTTTAGAAGCCCTTACTTTTTACTTACATCAGTGGATTGCTTCTTTGGGATATGGCCCCTCAGAAAGAACACGGCAGTCTCCACATCTCCCTTAGTGAACCCTTCTGACAAATCATACAGCATCTGCCTGTGTGACAAGAATTTGGTGAGGCAATTTAGTGATTACTATCTAAGCCAGGGGACGCGGGTGGCGCTGTGGGTTAAACCACAGAGCCTAGGGCTTGCCGATCAGAAGGTCGGCGGTTCAAATCCCCGCGACGGGGTGAGCTCCCGTTGCTCGGTCCCTGCTCCTGCCAACCTAGCAGTTCGAAAGCACGTCAAAGTGCAAGTAGATGAATAGGTACCACTCCGGCGGGAAGGTAAACGCCGTTTCCATGCGCTGCTCTGGTTCGCCAGAAGCGGCTTAGTCATGCTGGCCACATGACCCGGAAGCTGTATGCCGCCTCCCTCGGCCAATAAAGCGAGATGAGCGCCGCAACCCCAGAGTCAGCTACGACTGGAGCTAATGGTCAGGGGTCCCTTTACCTTTACCTATCTAAGCCAGGGGTAGTCAACCTTTTTATACCTGCCGCCCACTAATGCATCTTTCCTGATGGTAAAATGTCCCTACCGCCCACCAGTGCTCGATGGAAGGAGGATTCAGCTTGTGCCGTAGAACCCTCTACCACCCACCTAGAATCCTGAATCTGAAGGGATCAGGTTGACAACCTCCTGATCTAAGTCTTAGAAACCTGGCTTCCCAACCACCACCACCCAACCCAAACATCCACAGAACCAGAAGTCTCTGGTGGCAGCTGTCCAGGTTCAAGGTCTCCCCACCAAACAGCTAGCAAATAAATAAATAAAAATGTTTTGATGCCCACCAGAAGGAAGGGAACATATCAGCCAATGTTTTTCAAGCAGAACGGTATCTTCAGAAATGGAAGACTCACCGGTATTCAGATACCCTCCCTCGCCGAGGTAGATCTTTTTCAACTGCCTCTTTGGTATAGTCAAGCTTCGCTAGCAGGCTGATACTCTTAATTCTGTAAAGAAGTTCTGCTACTATAAAGTTGTCCTCCTCATTTAGTATGTCTTCGTTCATGAGATAATGGAAAAGATTGTGTGCCGACTCCACAGTTTCCAACTTCTTCCAGGGGATGAAATCAATGCAGAAAAACTTAACAGCCTCCAAATCTTCGCTTCCCAGGTTCTTATCAATTTCCAGAAGGTTACAGGTCAGCTTTCTACTGTCGCTGTTAATCATGATGGAGGCTTTTGTCAGGCGCTAGGATTTCTGACAAGGGAGAGAAAAGCAAGCAAGGAGTTGGTGTTGAAGGAGAAACCACTCGGCAGCCACCAATACACAATCAAACAAGAAGAAGAAGAAGAAGAAGAAGTAGTACTGGGAATTACCGGTAAGTAAAAGCAGGGATCTAAACCATGCCAACGGAAATTGCAGCAGCTATTTCAGTTAGATATAACAAACACTTCTTGTGTACTTGTATGTCGTTGGTTTTTTTATTATTATTATTGTTATTATTTTTCCCAAAAGGCAGGCAGAGATTTATTTTTCTCAGGAAATCTCCAGTTAATTGGATACAGAAATTGAAATAAGTGAAATTGTTTCTTTCTTTTCAACAAACAGGCCAGTTAGACTGCTATAAACTGTCCTCTCTTTTTTTAGAAAAAGCTTACTGTTTCATTCAGCTTGTTGACTGTCACAGGAAAGAAATGCTGCCTTAGCTCAATACAGAAACATCCTTCCAAACAACTAAGCAGTCTTAGAATTTCATAAATGGCACTTGGAATGGCTGATCTGTTGCGTGCCTCAGTGCCAAGGCATAAGCATATACTTTTGCATCGACTATCATGTGCTCCTCTGACACCAGCTCCTCAATTCTCTGCAATATATCATTCTTTGGTAGTGTAACAACTTCTACAAATTCTCCTTCCTCTGGTTTTTGTTTGGGCTTCAGATTGGCAGGAATATCTCCATTAATGGTGACTGTTGCAATGTGTGATGCACAGTTAGTCAATCCAGGATCCAAGCACAAAGCTGGAGAGCATTCAAGGATCTCCCCTTTGTATCCTGTTTCTTCCTCCAGTTCACGTAAAGCAGCACTTTCTGGGGTTTCATTGCTATCAATTAGACCTGCAGGGAATTCCAGGCAGTAGTTTCCCATGGGAGGCCTAAATTGTTTCACTAGGACAACACAGTCATAGTGAAGAGTTCTTTGCAACACTGGAATAACAGCAACACCATCAGCAGAAACCCCTTCTTTTCTGGTAGTACGCTTCACAGATTCCCATACTCTTGTTTGACCTTCAGGGTCAATGTAAGTTGTCTGCTCAAGCTTCACCCATTTTCTTTCTGCAATCGTCTCTTCTTTAACTATAGATTCTTGGGTGGTTTTCTGAGCTTCAGCAGATGCTTCCTTTTCCATTTTCAGTGATGTTGGTCTGTCACCTCAAGCACAAAGTCCACCTAACTACAAATCAGAGTCAATATTTGCCCTCAGGATCAAGTCAGACCATTCATTCTTTTCATTCTAAATTAACAAGTCAACCCTCAGAGCCCGCGGGCGGGCGGGGGAAGCGCCTCCTCCGATCCCGCGCTTCTGACTCATGTTGTTGTTTTTTAGAATAAATGCTTATAGCTTATGAAGCAATATCCTGCAGTCTTATGAAGAAATATCCTGTTCTTAAATTCACACACACACACACACACACACACACAAACCCTGTGAATAACTTTGCAAATGCTGTGTCAACAAATTCTACTTCAATAGTGGTGTCAAGTAATTTTTTGATAGGATGCCTGAAACAAACACGTGCTTGAAGACCTCAAGCCCAGAATTCTTGTGGCAATGACTCAATGGATCACCGGTTCAAGTTAATTTGGGCATGTAATCCACACCTCCTGCCAACCTAGCAGTTCGAAAGGACGTCAAAGGGCAAGTAGATAAATAGGTACCGCTCTGGCAGGAAGGTAAATGGCGCTTCCATGCGCCACTCTGGTTCACCAGAAGCGGCTTAGTCATGCTGGCCACATGACCCGGAAGCTGTACGCCGGCTCCCTCGGCCAATAAAGCGAGATGAGCGCCGCAACCCCAGAGTTGGCCACGACTGGACCTAATGGTCAGGGGTACCTTTACCTTACCAATCCACCACACCAAAAATATTGGGTCTTTTAAATAGAAAATAATGCACAACAATAAGTAAAAAAAGAAAGAAACTAACGAAGAATTAAGTTGCAAGGCATGAATAAGAATCAACTGTTGGTTTTCAGTCTGGAGATAAAAGTCTGGTTAAGAAATTCACCAGTTCTTGAATGCAGCAGAATCAAGGCTAGAAAGAAGCAAACAGGCCAGAGAAAATATCTGGCAGCCCAATAACAACAACAACAACAACAACAACACAGTCCTCAACAAGCTTACCTGAAAGTTTCATGGGACGTGCTCTCACATCCCTGTGTATAGGTAAAGGTAAAGGGACCCCTGATCATTAGGTTCAGTCATGACCGACTCTGGGGTTGCGGCGCTCATCTCGCTTTATTGGCCGAGGGAGCCGGCGTACAGCTTCCGGGTCATGTGACCAGCACGACTAAGCCGCTTCTGGCGAACCAGAGAAGTGCACGGAAATGCCGTTTACCTTCCCGCCAGAGTGGTACCTATTTATCTACTTGCACTTTGATGTGCTTTCGAACTGCTAGGTTGGCAGGAGTTGGGACCGAACAACGGGAGCTCACCCCGTCGCGGGGATTCGAACTGCCGACCTTTTGATCGGAAAGTCCTAGGCTCTGCGGTTTAACCCACAGCGCCACCCGCGTCCCTTCATCCCTGATCATACGGCAGCCCAATACTTGGCTTTCCAGGTCCATGAATTGCAGGGTTTGAACTAAAGGACTCTTGGGGGGGGGGTCACTTCTAACGATACAATTCTATTGTTCTAATGCTGCAATCCGACTCTCAAACGTCCCTTTGAACTTATAAGAGAGGATTGGGCTCCAGGGTGAGGGGCACCTTTCATTTCCTATGAACGGGCTCAGAAAATGTTCGGGCCACAAACTTTAGCTCTTGGGGTGTGCTCAATGTGGGCACCCCAAAACAGTCCCTTGGCATCTCCCAAGGCCCCTTAAGCCTCCTGATTTTTGCAAATTTTAAATGTTTGGTTTATTTCACTTTTCAGATGCAAGCTCTAGCTTCCTATCTTACTTTCTTCTTCCAGAAAGCCAAAAGACAGTATTTGTGTGTGAGGATGTGTTTTTAAAAAAGCAGGGAAACACGTGTTAAGTGTTTGGGGAAGGTATTTAGGAGCCCTCCATGTGTGATTATTTTGAAGGGCTGGATGTATTTGTTTGGGAAAAAGCGTTTGAAATGTTTCCTGTTCAAGTTTGGGGCCGGGTTCGGGTTTTTGCTTTTAAGAGATCTGTTCCCTGAGTGGGCTTGTGTGGGTGAACATATTTTTTTGGAGACAAGAGGAAATGTGACGGCGACAACCCCTGTCTCAGCAAATAACACTTCCGGCCAACTAAAAATAAAAATAAAATAAAGGCCGCTCCTGATAAGCCAGACATCACATTTTGATCGGTTGATTAATAATTTTCTGTATGAAGAAAAACCGGAAGAGGGGAGTTGCCATCTTAAGCCGTCTGAGGAAAAAAAGCGTCTTCTAAGATGGTGTCTAAAGTGCCACCTGATTATAAAAATAATGCGCCCCCCCCTCAAAAAACAACCAACCTATCTTTTATGTAGATGCAAATGTAGGCAGATTTTGATGAACTAAGCTTTTTCTTCTTCTTAGGTGGTAACGGAGGCAGGAAAGATCCTGGCCCACGGGGCACAACTTGGTAGCACTGGAGCCCTTCACTGGTTGCCTTCTAACCCCTTACCTGGGAGTAAGTCCCCCTGAAGTCAACAGGACTTACTTCTGAGAAGTCACGGCCAGGCTATCCTAGTTTCGCTTTGCTATTGACTTAGCGGTGCCTGGTGGATGGGAAAACGAGATAAACTGATTTCCTGGAAAAGGGGCGGCTCGCCGTCGGAAGGTTGGGTGCAAGCAGCTTAATTGCGATTATGATTAATTGTTAGATTTGGACACACACACAACACACACACTTCACCCGCAGATCTCCGGGCAGTTGGCAGCGCAAACCTCCCCCCCCCCCAAAAAAACTTACTTTTTGTTTCTAAAGAAGACACCCAGCCAGGCCTCCCGATCTTTCAACATGAGTTTCTGGGCTTTGAGATCTTATAAAGTTCAGATGCCGGAGAAAGGAAAACAAAACAAGGCGCAGGATCGGAGCGGCGGAGGAAACGTCGCCCAACTTCGCCCCGATTCCCACGGAGTTTAGCAAAGAGGAATCGCCCAGCCGCCGCTCCACGCTGCCTCCTGCAATTTTTTTTGAATTTCCTGGTCCGATCATCGCCCCCTTGCTTCGTCTTGCCTTGCGCGGCTGCACGTAGACAAGGAAGCGCCACCCACTCAACTCTTACGGCCCTAAAAATAAAATTATTTCCGCCTGCTTAACGGGAGTTCCCTGAGAAAGTGGCCGCTGGATGTTGCAATATATCAGGGGCATTCCCCGCACAGAAGGGCAGCGGGGGCTTGGCTGCTAGTTTGCGTTTCCCTTTAAAGAAATCGCCGCCTTCTCTTAATTTTGTAATAAGACACGGAAGGATGGGAAGGAGCCCCCTGTGATTGCTTCCTTGCTCCTGGGAGGTTTTTGGGGGTTTTTTGCAAAACGTGCATTTAAAATGCGCTCAGTACTGGAAACGTAAAGCATTCTTTGTTGTTGTTGGGTTGTGAGGTTTGTTGAAATGGCGTATGTTTAAGAGCTGGCCACTTTGAAGCTTGCTAAACATTGCTAAACTTTTTAAACATTGCTAGGGAGTCGTCAGCCTTTTGGGGGGGCGGGGAGACGACGACACATGCTTGATAAGTTAGGTAACTCTCACGGGTGCAATTTCCCTTTCCCCTAAAACCAAACATGCCCAGGCAAGTTTCCCAAACGACCCTCCGCACTTTCAAGCCAGATCCTTCTGAGATAAAGGTAAAAAGTCAAATCCATCAAATCGACAGCAGATGTCCTTGAATTCGCACGATTCCTTGGGGGGGGGGTGACCTAAACGTCCTACCTAATCACACATCAATGCCGGATTTACGTGTAAGCTAAACAAGCTATAGTTTAGGACCCCACTCTCTTGGGGCCCCCAAAAAATTTAAAGGAAAAAAACCTGGATATACATTTCCAAAATATAAGATAAAAAATGAAATAAAACCTACATACAGCAACAGTGTTTTGTGTTGTGTAGGCTCCTAGGATGTAAGTAATAGGCCCCGCCTGCTAGCCTGCTCCCTAAAATATCACTGGTTTGCTCATTTCTATATATAGGGTGCCTACATTCTGCATGATCACTGCAGATGGTGACAGCAGCCACGAAATTAAAAGACGCCTGCTTCTTGGGAGAAAAGCAATGACAAACCTAGACAGCATCATAAAAAGTAGAGACATCACCTTGCCAACAAAGGTCCGTATAGTTAAAGCTATGGTTTTCCCAGTAGTGATGTATGGAAGTGAAAGCTGGACCATAAAGAAGGCTGATCGCCGAAGAATTGATGCTTTTGAATTATGGTGCTGGAGGAGACTCTTGAGAGTCCCATGGACTGCAAGAAGGTCAACCCTATCCATTCTGAAGGAAATCAGCCCTGAGTGCTCACTGGAAGGACAGATCCTGAAGCTGAGGCTCCAATACTTTGGCCACCTCATGAGAAGAGAAGACTCCCTGGAAAAGACCCTGATGTTGGGAAAGATGGAGGGCACAAGGAGAAGGGGACAACAGAGGACGAGATGGTTGGACAGTGTTCTCGAAGCTACAAACATGAGTTTGACCAAACTGCGGGAGGCAGTGGAAGACAGGAGTGCCTGGTGTGCTCTGGTCCATGGGGGTCACGAAGAGTCGGACACGACTAAATGACTAAACAACAACAAACATTCTGCATGTGCAAATGGCTTTAGATACCCATTAGGTCCATAAATTACCATATATAGTGTTATAAGAATTTTAAGGTCATAGTGTTTGTGTGTGTGTGTGTGTGTATGAGAATGAGCTTAAAATTATATATATTAGATGTTCAAAAATATACCAATCAAACACATACAAATATGTAAACCACATGTCAGAATGTAGGGGAACAGTTAGGATCACCCCAGAAACACTAAAACTGTTCATGAATTCCCCCCCCCCCCCCGCCAGGCCTCGCCTCAAGCATTAAAACTGCATTTCCTCTAAGACAAAAAGCATTAGCTAAGCATATTCCGCTCTGCTGTAACAAAGGTAGCTGAATAGAACAATGCTTTCTTCATTTCTCAGGCTAGTTGGCCTTGTTAACCAGATTGCAACGTTTCCTTCCTGGAACTGTGCCACTAGAGCAAGAGAAAAGT